GTTCAGGAGGAGGCTGCATTCCGAGGCTTGTGGCTAGGGAGACGAGAGGGAGACCGAGCCAGGCCCGGCGGCCATTGTAATAACTCAGAGTAGTCTTGGTGCTCGGCCAACGGAGCCAAACACATGGACATTATGTATGATTATGACAAAACCAAGACGGAGAATTGACTGGCCACCAAAACATGAGCTATATGTATTGCATGTATTTATCGTTGTATCACCCAACATGTTAATAAACCAGCCATAGGCCTACTTGTAATTAATGCAATTATATATTGTCAGACAATAATTCCAAACATGCATTTGACTTAGTTTAGTATGCAACGCAGTCTGGCTCATTGTACAACGCAGGTTTTCAATTTGGTGGGTAACATTTGACGATATTTTCTGTAATGCAGATACTGACACGTGTGTGTTGACCTGACTGCAACAACGTGTTGAAAATGGCCCAGTGGAAATCTGTCATGTTTACATCAACATAAAGCGACTAATGACTTAATTGTAAATAATGAGAGGTTGTCAAACAGGAGTACAGAAGGCAAATGGTTATTAGTTTTAAAAAACTGAGGTTGAAAGTAACATGCTTGTTTTGTTTTCCATCTCATCAAGGGGGTGACAAATAGAAATAGCAAGCACCAACATCAACAAGGACAGGAAAAAACACAGTGACATTGTAGCCTATTAAACAGTGTTTTCAGATTTTTTTGGTGAATAAACACTTCCTTTTTAGAATCTCCAGCCTTCTGCAAAATCCTGTGCTTCCTACAGAACCAGTAGGTTGGAGTGACGCTACTGCCCCCTAGTGGTGAAAATGACTCTTGCATCTGATGGAAATCCATGGCTACATCCGAAATGACATCATATTCCCTATATAGTGCACTCCTTTTGACCAGGACCCACATGGCTCAGCGCAAAAGTAGTGCACTATATGGGGAACAGGGTGACATTTCAGACCCAGACCATGGTAACTTAAGAGATGCAAAGAGAGACACTTTGATGACTAACCTTGCACTGTGTGGGGTGTTTTCTGTGTCCTGGATCTGTGCAGCTGTGTAGTGATGGGATGTAGCTCAGTTGGTAGAGCATGGCGTTTGCAACGCCAGGGTTGTGGGTTCGATTCCCACGGGGGGCCAGTATGAAACATTTTAAAAAATAATGTATGCACTCACTAACTGTAAGTCGCTCTGGATAAGAGCGTCTGCTAAATGACTAAAATGTAAATGTGGGGTTTAGTGGTGTTCCAGCGGGTGGGCTTTGGGATGACCCTGCGAGGAGCTAGGATGGATGACCCTGCGAGGAGCTAGGATGGATGACCCTGCGAGGAGCTAGGATGGATGACCCTGCGAGGAGCTAGGATGGATGACCCTGCGAGGAGCTAGGATGGATGACCCTGCGAGGAGCTAGGATGGATGACCCTGCGAGGAGCTAGGATGGATGACCCTGCGAGGAGCTAGGATGGATGACCCTGCGAGGAGCTAGGGGCTCCAGATGGGCTCATACCCCCTCCTCCCCTCCACTGGCTGGATTGGTCTGCAGAGGCTAGAGTAGAGGAGACAGACTAATATATATTTTTTCACAACTAACTTATAAAAGCAGTTTCCACAAAAATTGACAATAAAGTATCTTATCGTAACTAACCAATGAGGGTAAAGTTTTAATTTAATAAATGACAGATGTCAATGCCATTCTCATCATTTGTTTCAATAAAGCAACTGACTAAGGTAACTGGGTAGCCTACCTGTTGCTGGAACCACAGTGGGAGAGTCTGCAGCATCAAGGTGGGTAACATGAACGTGAACGGGTGATACTTGCCGTGCGAGTTGTTAGATAGCTAGATAAACAACCAATGCAGTCCTTCTCTGCAACTTGCTGGCACTAAGACCGCACTCAATGAGCTGTATAAGGCCATAAGCAAACAAGAAAATGCTAATTCAGAGGCGGCACTCCTAGTGGCCGGGGACTTTAACGCAGGCAAATTTAAATCCGTTTTACCTCATTTCTACCAGCATGTCACATGTGCAACCAGAGGGAAAAAACTCTAGACCACCTTTACCCCACACACAGAGACACATACAAAGCTCTCCCTCACCCTCCATTTGACAAATCTGACCATAATTATATCCTCCTGATTCCTGCTTACAAGCAAAAACTAAAGCAGGAAGTACCAGTGACTCGCTCAATACGGAAGTGGTCAGATGACGCGGATGCTACGCTAAAGGACTGTTTTGCTAGCACAGACTGGGATATGTTCCGGGATTCATCCAATGGCATTGAGGAGTATACCACCTCAGTCACTGGCTTCATCAATAAGTACATCGACGACATCGTCCCCACAGTGACCGTATGTACATATCCCAACCAAAAGCTATGGATTACAGGTAACATCCGCACCCTGCTAAAGGCTAGAGCTGCCGCTTTCAAGGAGCGGGACACTAATCCGGATGCTTTTAAGAAATCCCGCTATGCTCTCAGACGAACCATCAAACAGGCAAAGTGTCAATACAGGACTAAGATTGAATCTTACTACACCGGCTCTGACACTCGTCGGATGTGGCAGGGTTTGCAAACTATTACAGACTACAAAGGGAAACCTAGCCACGAGCTGCCCAGTGACACAAGCCTACCAGACGAGCTAAATGCCTTTCATGCTTGCTTCGAGGCAAGCAACACTGAAGCATGTATGAGAGCACCAGCTGTTCCGGATGACTGTGTGATCATGCTCTCCGTAGCCGATGTGAGCAAGACCTTTAAACAAGACAACATTCACAAGGGACCAATTTGTAAGTCGCTCTGGATAAGAGCGTCTGCTAAATGACGTAAATGTAAGGCTGCGGGGACAGACGGATTACCGGGACGTGTACTCAGAGCATGCGCGGACCAACTGGCAAGTGTCTTCACTGACATTTTCAACCTCTCCCTGACTGAGTCTGTAATACCTATATGTTTCAAGCAGACCACCATAGTCCATTCGCATCGACGGGGCTAAAGGGGAGCGGGTCGAGAGTTTCAAGTTCCTTGGTGTCCACATCACCAACAAACTATCATGGTCCAAACACACCAAGACAGTCGTGAAGAGGGCTGAAAAGATTTGGCAGTTCCTCAAGGAACTGAAAAGATTTGGCATGGGTCCCCAGATCCTCTAAACGTTATACAGCTAAACCATCGAGAGCATCCTGACCAGTTGCATCACCGCCTGGTATGGCAACTGCTCAGCATCTGACCGTGAGGCACTACAGAGGGTAGTGCGTACAGCCCAGTATATCACTGGGGCCAAGCTTCCTGACATCCAGGACCTATATATTAGGCAGTGTCAGAGGAAAAATTGTCAAAGACTCCAGTCACCCAAGTCATAGACTGTTCTCTCTGCTACCGCACAGCAAGCGGTGCCGGTGCACCAAGTCTAGGTCCAAAAGGCTCCTTAACAGCTTCTACCCCCAAGCCATAACACTGCTGAACAATTAATCAAATGGCCACCCAGACTATTTACATCCCCCCACCCCCAACTTATTTATTTTACACAGCTGCTACTCGCTGTTTATTATCTATGCATAGTCACTTTACCCCTACCTACATGTACAAATTACCTCGACTAACCTGTACCCGCGCACATTGACTCGGTACCGGTACCGGTACCCCCTGTATATAGCCTCATTATTGTTATTTTTTTGTGTTACTTTTTACTTTAGTTTATTTAGTAAATATTTTCTTAACTCTATTTCTTGAACTGCATTGTTGGTTAAGGGCTCGTAAGTAACGTTAAGCATTTCACGGTAAGGTCTACACCTGTTGTATTTGGGGCATGTGACAAATACAATTTGAATTGAACTTAACATTTTAAACTTCCCGCTACACAATTGTTTGTTGACGTTAGCTTGCTAGCTAGTAGGCACCTCCAAAAGGTTAAAAGAACAGCACGGCAAACCCGGTAAAAAGTAGCTAAACCTGTGCTATTTTAAACAATCGTGATACGTTGGGAAATGAATGCAACCTGAAGTCAGAATCGAAAAATACAACATAACTTCCCTACTGTTAGCTACTGAATATGAAAACACAGCAGCAGTTGCTTTCAACAGTAACTTCCGGTCAAGGACATGATCTGGTACGTGAAATATCGCCATCTGCTGTGCATGATAGGGTGAGAACGTTAACCCAAAGCCCCAATTAAACAGCAAAATCATGATAATTAAACAACCACGGGAGAGAATGTTAATCCAAAAACACAATATCAGCAGTAACCAACAAAATAATGATTAAACAAGTGCTGTTGATATTTATATAGGTTTAAAAGGGAGGGCTAGCGACAAACACTATAATGAGGAACTGAAACATTACCTCGTGTCACACCGTAGTGTTTATGCAGTAACACTAAATCCACAATTAAACATTTCAGTTATTATTTTCGATTTTGAATCCCATACATACGCACACAAACGTATAAAATATTTAACATTATTCTAGTAATGTTTTATGTTTTAAGAACAATGTCTAATGATTATAGAGTATTCTGTACCTTTCAAGCCTCTCGAAACTGAATTGGTGCCGCAGCCAGCCACTGCAGTCCCCTTTTCACAACATGTTTTTCGGAACCTGAGTGGGTGAATGACTTCGTTGTTGTGTTGAAGAAAAGGTGATTGCACACAATTTGATATCTAAATGTATGTCATGTTGTCAAAGTCTTAATTGGATCTGCTGGGCTATATAGTTCGCCTGTGAACCTTACCAAATCAGCTTGGGAGCTTTTAGCTGCGTACTGAGCTTGCTTGCGAGCTAACACTACAAAAAGCCTTCAATTATGCAGCTGCTATTAATGCATGGTCAGGTGTCATATATAGCTAGCTAATCAGCTAGTACTCTGTAGCAAGCTATTTTGGTAATTCAGTACTCCCTATTCTTAGCTAGTTATAGTGAACGTACATCATACATAACATGGATAGGGCTGTCATTCAATCAGTTACATCATGGGTGTAATTTTAATCCAACAGATCTCTAATTGTACCACCATGGCTGCCCAGGTAACAGAAGCAGACCAGATTAAACAGGTATATCGTGAGGATACTTCTCATACACAATTCAATCTTGTTTAATCTAAGTGAGTGTTAAAAAATGAATGCATTCGTAAAATATTGTTTGTGTTCACAGTTCAAAGAATTTCTTGGTACCTACAACAAACTCACAGAGAACTGCTTCATGGACTGTGTGAAGGATTTTACCACTAGAGAAGTAAAGCCAGAGGAGGTAGGTTGACTTCCTTGATGTTTTCAAGAGTTCCTTCTCAAAACCCATTGGATGAGAAAGTCAAGAGTTCCCTTCCCTCTGACCTTCTCCAATGGGCTTTGAGAACGAGGCAACGAGAGAGGACCCGAGGTGTCAAAGAAATGCAGTTGAGATTATCCCTTAATCATGTCTGGGTAGTAGGTAGTATTGTGGCCATCCTTCTAAATCCTGTCTCGTTGTTGGAGGCTAGGTAGTGGATAGTCTCATCCACCAGAGGGTTCTATTTCTGTAGCAATCGAGCCTGAGGATGAGGTTTGGTAGCGGGTAAAATAGGACACAATGTGGTAACATTGGTCAACAAAATGTTATCACAGAATGTTCCTGTATGTTGTTAAATGTAACATTCTACCGGGTTAGCTTCTTTAGTCGGAGTAGAAGCCTTTGCAGTGGACACAGCAATATTTGAAGAGGTGTGATATGTGACGTCATATAACTTTATTGGTTTCCCTCTCAGTCCACCTGCTCTGAGAGCTGTCTTCAGAAGTACCTGAAGATGACCCAGCGCATCTCCATGCGCTTCCAGGAGTACCACATCCAGCAGAACGAAGCTCTGGCACAGAAAGCAGGTTTAATCGGACCACGGTAGAGAACTACCGCCCTTTAAACATGGACAGATAACACCAGGAGTCCCCCATTCAGTCTGATCACAACATGATCTCCACACCACCATGGAGCTGTTATTTGTGAATCAGCGGATGGCTAACCTACATCATCTACTTTTCAGGCTGATGAATGCTTGGACACTTCTAACCAGAAGCCTCATAAGGAAAAGCCTGATCATGATGTATGAGATCATGCTGAGTTTTGATCCAGGCAGAACTAGAATTTTTGTTTGTTATTATAGTGTATGTAAAGTATTATTTGTGTCTATGCGAAGTAAGAATAAGATACTGGTAATAACAACTTGGAGTGTTAATAATTGTCCCCTTTTTCCCTATACAAATCCTTATTTGTCAATAAATGTCTTGTTCCACTCAACATTCCCGAAACAACATTTTACCTGGGCATACTGGTCAATTTCCCATTGTGTAACGTCTTATTTTGTTTGACCGCTAAACTATACTGAACCAAAATATAAACGCAACCTGTAAAGTGTTGGTTTCATGAGCTGAAATAAATGATCCCAGACATTTTCCATACGCACATAAAGCATATTTCTCTCTAATTTTGTGCACAAATTTGTTTACATCCCTGTTAGTGAGCATTTCTCCTTTGCCAAGATGATCCATCCACCTGACAGGTGTGGCATATCAAGAAGCTGATTAAACAGCATGATCATTACACAGGTGCACCTTGTGCTGCGGACAATAAAAGGCCATTCTAAAATGTGCAGTTTTGTCACACAATACCTCAATATCTCCAGTTTTGAGGGAGCGTGCAATTGGCATGCTGACTGCAGGAATGTCAACCAGAGAATTGAATGTTCATTTCTCTACCATAAGTCGCCTTCAACGTCATTTTAGAGAATTTGGCAGTATGTCCAACCGGCCTCACAACCACAGACCACGTGTAACCACGCCAGCCCAGGACCTCCACTTCCGTCTTCTTCACCTGCGGGATCGTCTGAGACCAGCCACCCAGACAGTTGATGAAACTGAGGAGTATTTATGTCTGGAATAAAGCCCTTTTGTGGGGAAAAACTAATTTGATTGGCTGGCCCTGGCTCCCCAATGGGTGGGTCTATACCCATGGCTGCACCCCTGCCCAGTCATGTGAAATGAGGGCCTAATTTATTTATTTCAATTAACTGATTTCCTTAAATGAACTTTTGCATGTTGTTTATATTTTTGTTTAGTATAATTTGAAATATCTGCCATCTGTTGGTGGTTATAGATGGAAAAAACAAACAGCTCAAGGACATAAGTCCTCACTTACATACTTCTGATGTCCATCACTTGAAGGTTATTGGCATACAGATTTATAACCAGAGGTTATTGAAGATGAAACACTGATGCATCAATTTGGGATTGAGGTTTCAGGCAATCCAAGCAAAATGGTTTGTGTTCCCCAACCTGGTAAAAGGACAAACAAAACAAGATCTGAGTGCTGCTTGAATCTAGTGTCGGGGCTTATACACTGATATTATTCCAGAAAATTCCAAGGGAAATAACAGTAAGAGTTAGGACAGAGGTGGACGCAGAACGGCCCTCGGAGCCAGTGTCCGTCCACATGTTAGCCTCTCTAAAATGATCAGTAATTCACAAGGGAAATATTTAAAAACTTTATTAGAAATGAAGAGCTCTGCTTATTTTACATTAAGATACAAAGGCTTTGCTCAGGGAATCTTAATACCTTCTTTCCTTCATCCAGGAATCTGTAGATAAACTTAGCTTTTAAGGAAGTACTGTATGTTTTTCACAAGTCTATCAGGCATAAAAATTTTCAATGTTCTGAATGCTTCCATTACGCTCTTCTTTAGGGTTAGTTTCAGACTAATGCTGAAATCCACTGGGTCAGTATATACAGTCTGATTGTGTGCACGAATGTTTCTACGAACTTGACATAGAAAAAGGTTTTAATATACCGGTACAAAGATGGTTTAAAAAAATAAGTCATTCTTTACAGTTTGTCAAATGTATTTTTCAAATTCATGGTTTTGGAAGATCTATATACAAAAACAATCATAAGAAACCTCTGGGCTTAACATACATATTCCTTAAGCAACTTTTATTTAATTGGTCAGAACTCATGTTGAAATAATAGATGTTTTAAATTATAACAAATACAAGTACCAAGAAACAAAGTGAAGGCCACCAAATGATTGTGTTCCCCAGACTCCGTCTAGGGGAAAAAACTAACCTGTAGAGAAAGCAGAGGGCCCTGTTAAATGTGGGATACATGTACTGCACAGTAGTGAAACTTCACAGTCAGTCTGCTTTTAGATGAGCACACAGCATTCTTTCAATATCAGATTTTCCCATTGTCCAAACTGTGGAAGGTTCATGTCTCCATATTGTAAAAAATACTAAAATGTGTCCACTGACAGAATAAATATATTTAACAATGCAAGAAACCTTTTTTACACAACATTTCAGGGCAAGAAATCTTTCATTAAATAACTTCACTGCTGTGATATATACTTTTTGAAATTTTCCATACTAAAATAAAAACTCTGCAATTACATATAAAAAGACAAAATACTCTCGCAAAGGAAATTAGTCCACTGAAAACATTTTCTCCTGAGTTCCACTGTAAACCTTTTACTATTCATTTTTTAATTACTTTTCTTAAAAAGAGACCCAAAAATAGTTTGCATAATTAATCTGTGCTGACAATGCAATAATGGAAGACAACGGCTGCAGTTTTCAGTAAACTACATTCCCTTTCGCAATTGAATTTGTCCCACTTTTCCAAAATAGGGCACTCTGCTGTAACACGTGTACTTTGGCAGTTCTGATGGAGCAAGCGAACATAATTTACCTTTTTGCAAACAATGTCCAAGCTGGTTAAGTGACCGTTATTAACAAGGGTAGGGACCCTTTACATTGTAGGTTACATACATTGTGTATGTCTGGTTCTGCTGATAGAGACATCATTGATTCATTACTGAATCCAGATTGCTCCTGTTTAGGGAACCAGAGGAGGTTATATCTGTTTCTGTGGTTCTGACAGAGTAAGAAGGAGAAAAGTGCCATGGACTGTTCAAGGATGGAGAGTGAAGGGGTTTGGCTAGGAGTATCTGGGGTTTGTGGTTTCCTTTACATTCAACTCACGTAGAATCCATTTCCTGACAACACTGCGATAGGTGGACTACAATATCTACAAGGCAGGGAAGTGCAAGAAGTGGGAGTGGCCAAGTGGTGGATTGGATGCGGTAGGAGTGGTGGGGGGTGAAAGGAGACAGAGGGGGGCAGTCGAGTGCTTTTGTCCGCTTGCTCTGGTCTGTCAGTACGTGGGTACGTCTGAAATGGCACCCTTATGCCCTATATAGTGGACTACTTTTGACCAGGGCTTCTGGTCATTTAACATGGGCTTCTGGTCAAAAGATACGCACTATAAAGGGAATAAGGTGCCATTTCGGACACAACCCGTGTCTCCAGGGTGGTCGTCATGGGAACCATGGGGGAGAAGGCGTGTCATCACCTGCACTCGACAGCCACAGTGTTCTGAGTGGGTGAGGCGGAGGAGGGGCTCATCCCAGTGTCTGACGAGCCAGACGACGTTGAAGCTGTGGTGTGGGACACTGGGAGGGAGGAGAGAGCAGGTTAGACAGCCGTATCAGTCTTTCATACTCTACACAGGATTGTGGTGAGCAAAGAGACCATGGAAACAAAGCAAACCATTACAATGAAAGCTAAATAGACAGTAGTAGGAGAGGGAAGAGAGAGCAGGTTAGACAGCTGTATGCATATAATAATACTTTGTAGTGTGTGTCAAAAATAGTTTAAGGAATCATTCAAAAACAAAATATTTACAATACAAAGCTATTCAAGTAGTTTGCTCTGGAACATGACTGAGGACTCGAATAACATTGGGTCTTCAGATAAATCTGAAATCAGAGTTGGGATGGAAGTGCAGAAAAGCCATCCTACCCTCTCTTTCTTTCTTCTTTAACCTCTTCCTCCTCCTGTCTATGGAGGCCACTTCAGACTTGAGTGACATGTAGTACTTCCTTATATCCTGTAGTTTGTCTTGTAAGAAGGATATCCTCTCAGCACTTGACATGCTGTCCAGTTCATCTGCTCAGAGACACAAAGGTTCTTATTATACTGGTCTGAGACCATCTGAACAAATAAAAACATACTTTCACCATTCAGCTATAAAGATATGAGTGCTTTCGAAGCCATTTAATTTAGAACAGTAAATACAATATTAAGTTAAAGAATATTCACATAATTCAAGCTAAAATCCAAACCCTTAGGGCCGGTTTCCCGGACACAGATTAAGCCTAGTTCTAAAAATAATGGAGAACCTACATTGAAAGGGATTTTTTGTCCAGGACTAGGCTTAGTCTGTCTGGGAAACCGGATGCTATTGTTATTCAACACCTGAGATCAGTGTGATGAACTGGGATGTAATCATTAATCCAAACAGTTTCTATTGGACAAATTCAGGTAGGTCCCTCCCTGTTTGGTTCAGTGTGGTTCTCTAGTGAATACACCCCTGATTAGTGATACGTTCTACTTACTGAGCTGAAAGGTCCACTTGTATGTGCGCGGGGAGGGGAAGGAGGACTGCTTGTGTTTATGCTTGTCCTTCTCTAACTCCTTACTGTTAGGAGAGACCAGCTTCAGGCTTCCTTTAGACATGGAGTGTTTCACAGGAGTCATCTTACAGGAGGGGTCCATGACAGCCAGGTCCTCACTGTCACTGCTGTACTCTGTGGGGACACATTTTAAATACTTTATTTGAACCCACAAATCACATTACAGTCAAGAATGATTAAAACATTGACATGTTTTTTTAGGTGAGTCGACGGCCTGTCATTAATGGAAGTAAACCATTCGACTTACCTGCTCCGTTCTTCTCCATTTTGGACGTTGTGGTTGGCCGTTTCTGGTTGCGCTTCTGCTTCTTTGCAGAAGAACTCATATTGCAGTCCATCAACCTTTTCTGACCTAATTATAAAAAGGGAGAATATTGAGAATTATAATTTCAGAGGACTGAGATGTTTCCCCATGAGCATACATTGAACAACTAAAACCTTATTTGCAATGAGCAAAACATGTATAAAAACTAATGTGTGATGGAACTGTTTGCAATAGACACATTTTTACATTTTAGTCATTTAGCAGACGCTCTTATCCAGAGCGACTTACAGGAGCAATTAGGGTTAAGTGCCTTGCTCAAGGGCACAGAGATTTTTCACCTAGTTGGCTTAGGAATTCGAACGAGTGACCTTTTGGTTACTGGCCCAACGCTCTAACCGCTAGGCTAAATGGATATAGCCTATTCTATACCATTCTATGTGTGACCCACCTCTGTCCTTGGTGTCCCTCTCCTGTAGTGACATGCTGGAGTTGCTAGAGCTGGTGCTGGCTTCAAAGCAGTTGGAGTTGGCCGACTCGTTATCACCAAGCCCCTCCTGAGACTCCCCGGCTACGCTGTCAACCTCGATGGTGACGTCACTCTCACTCTTGGTGCTGATGGACTCATCAGGGCTGGGGGCCGAGGTGGGGGAGAAGACTCGTGGAGCAGCAGCGCCCCCGGAGGACGGAGGAGGGTTGTTGTGGGTCTGGGGGTGGTGGGAGGAGGCATTGGACGGAGGGGGAGCATGTACCTTCCCCTGACTCATCATCATTAGGAGGTCTTCTGCTGAGGTCTTGTCCTTCTCATCCAGGTCGTCCAGATCCACCTCGTGGCAGACCAGCGCCTCAGGCCCTATCTGGGGCATCAGCTCCTCCTCTGCCCCCGAGCCTGGCTGCTCCGACCTGGGCCAACCTCCTGTGATACCTCCCTCTCCTGGACCTCGACACTGCACCTCAGGAGTGAGGGCAGGCATCTCTGTTTTAACCTCCGGCTCCGTTTTACCCGTCACTGGCGTCAGGCACTCTTCTCCTTTCTGTCCCCCCGCCTCCAGCCTCTGCTCTGGAGTCGTGGGCCTCCCGGCTGGCGACTCAGTGGGCCTCCCCGCTGGCGACTCAGTGGGCCTCCCCGCTGGCGACTCAGTGGGCCTCCCCGCTGGCGACTCAGTGGGCCTCCCCGCTGGCGACTCAGTGGGCCTCCCCGCTGGCGACTCAGTGGGCCTCCCCGCTGGCGACTCAGTGGGCCTCCCCGCTGGCGACTCAGTGGGCCTCCCCGCTGGCGACTCAGTGGGCCTCCCCGCTGGCGACTCAGTGGGCCTGCCCGCTGGCGACTCAGTGGGCCTGCCCGCTGGCGACTCAGTGGGCCTGCCCGCTGGCCGGGCCTCCCGCTGGCGACTCAGTGGGCCTGCCCGCTGGCGACTCAGTGGGCCTCCCCGCTGGCGACTCAGTGGGCCTCCCCGCTGGCGACTCAGTGGGCCTCCCGCTGGCGACTCAGGGGGCCTCCCCGCTGGCGACTCAGTGGGCCTCCCCGCTGGCGACTCAGTGGGCCTGCCCGCTGGCGACTCAGTGGGCCTCCCGCTGGCGACTCAGGGGCCTGCCCGCTGGCGACTCAGGGGGCCTGCCCGCTGGCGACTCAGTGGGCCTGCCCGCTGGCGACTCAGGGGCCTCCCGCTGGCGACTCAGGGGCCTCCCCGCTGGCGACTCAGGGGCCTCCCCGCTGGCGACTCAGGGGGCCTCCCCGCTGGCGACTCAGTGGGCCTCCCCGCTGGCGACTCAGGGGGCCTCCCCGCTGGCGACCTAGGGGGCCTCCCCGCTGGCGACTCAGGGGGCCTCCCCGCTGGCGAATCAGGGTGCCTCCCCGCTGGCGAATCAGGGGGCCTCTCCCCAGGCGAATCATGGGGCCTCCCCCCAGGCGAATCATGGGGCCTCCCCCCAGGCGAATCATGGGGCCTCCCCCCAGGCGAATCATGGGGCCTCCCCCAAGGCGAATCATGGGGCCTCCCCCCAGGCGAATCATGGGGCCTCCCCCCAGGCGAATCATGGGGCCTCCCCCCAGGCGAATCATGGGGCCTCCCGCCAGGCGAATCATGGGGCCTCCTCTCAGGCGATCCCATTTTGGCAGTCTCCTCCCTCCAGTCTAGACGCACCTTCTTGTCTGGCGTCCTGTGCTCTGTGGCTTTACGCTTGGCCACGACTCGCTGCTCCCTGCAAATCTCCTCCTCCGTGGCGGAGTCTGTGTCGGAGTCCATGATGGGGAGGTCGGGCATGCTGGGTAGGTGCTCAGCAGGGAGACAGTGAAGGACCACCATGGGCTCATCCTGCCTCTTCAGGGGGCGTGGGCTGGGGGACGACTCTGTCTCAGTGTGGTTGGGAGTGGTGGTGATGATGGTGTTGGTGGGTGTTTCAGACTCAGTGTTGTTGGTGTTCCTCTCTGGCTCTCTAACGTTACTTCTACGTGCTGCTTTAGACCTGGGGGATTTCGGGGTAGGGGGGTCCTCTTCCTTGGGTCTGTTGGGTTCAGGGGTCATGGGGGGCGCCTGGGGCTGCTCCTCAGCCTCCTCTTTCTCCTTCACAGGCTCCCTCCTCTCAGGGAGTTTGTCCTCCTGCTGCTCCTTCTCCTGAGGGCTGCTGGGGGGCTGGAGCTGTGCTGCTGCTTGGGCTGCGGCGGCCACTGCCTCTGCTCTTCCTCTCTCCACCCTCAGGTCCTCCTCCTCTTCCTGCTTACGGGCCGTGGCGGGGTCCGTTCTCTCCGCCCATGCAGGCTTCTTCTCAGGAGAATCCTCTGACTCACTGTCCTCAAACGAATTCCCTGACTCTTCTAAGAGAAGTAGAGGGGGCACATCAAGGGTTAGCTTCCATCCTAACAAAATTCCTGGCTTCAATCATTTAAATAACCATTACTTCCAAACACCAAGGGGTAGTTTCCCCAGACACAGATTAAGTGTAGTCCTGGACTCAAAATCAATGCAGAATGTCCACTGAAAGGGCTACTTTAGCCCAGGACTAGGTTTAATCTGTGTCTGATAAAATCCGCCTCACGTGGCCAGAAACACCCTCTAATCATCCTTAGATGTGGACTATCATAGTTATCCTAATTAAAGTAGTGACTACACTATACTGCCTCTGTATTTAAAGGTATGTACTTACCATTGGAGTTGGCATCCCTGTCCGAGTCATACATCCCAGAGGTTCTTCTTGTGCGTCGGCGAGGGGTACCTGTTCACAGACAAATTGAATGAATAAAGTTGTCACGATTCTACATGACAGACGCTGCAGATCTATTCTACGTTTCGGTCTGAACATTCTATAACATTGCACCCTGCTGAACAAGCCCCACAGGTCCACCCTCTCCATAGGACTGATAATAGGTGCAGATTAAGGTGATGAGATGAGAAAAGAAAGCCAAGGTTCACTATTGGGATGCACCCGTGGAGTCATGTTACATGCTGGTTTAGGTACAGGTCTCGTGTCTCTTACCCTCTCCGTTGGGCAGGGCTGATGAGTCAGATTTGCTCTTGCTGCTGGAGCGCCCCTCACGGCTGGGGGTCTTGGAGACGCTGCGGTTGGCACTGGGGGGAGTGGTTCTGAGAAGAGGGCGACCTCTCAACCCACCCAGCTTCCCCTGCTTGTCCTTCTCTCCATCCTCTTTGTTCATGACTTTCTTTTTCTGTTTATTTTTTGTTCCGCCCTTGTCGACAGGCCAGATAATCCGGTCTGCTTTGACCCACTCATCATACCTATAGAGGGGAAATTAAACCGTAAACATTATAGCTAGACTCACTCATTAAATCTCTCAGATTATACACATGCAACAGTAACACACTGCTTGCACTAAGAAACAAATTACAGGTTTATTTCTGGATCAAAAAGGGGCTTAGGCGATGGGCGTGGCAATGATAGTGGTCAATTTCCTGCAATTCTACGAATTTCTCAATGGAGCTGAGATTTACTTTTAAAGTTAATTTCCGGCAATTCTACACATTTTGCCATGGAGCTGAGAGAAAATGTTGCAGTTTTAAAGATAATTTCCAGCAATTCTGTTCATTTTGCCATGGCTAATGCAGTGTTCTTAAACTTAATAACAAAATCAATACTGTTAAATTCAATGTTTTGGGAATTTTCAACTCCCCTGACTGTCAAGCTTTTATTTTGGTGACTGTTAGTTCTCAAAGATTATATTATTTAAAAAATATATAGGTCCATTATCTTTTCTACATACTTTATATCTGGTTTTAGTTTAAGTTTACACTGAAAGCGTTCTTCCATCCCGAAAATGTAGGTCTAAAAATATTATATTTTACAGTTTGGACTTAGGTGTCCCAAAAAAAACGCTTAAGCAGCCCGCCCAAGGGTTTCTATGGCAGAAAGATCCTCGCACTACATTGACAGTCAAGTAACTTCAAAAACAGAGAGAAATAGAGACAGGTGGATAAGTAATACTGAAAATACTGCCATGACCAAGACAGCGAATCATAAACACACAGAAATCCCCATAATGTCTTTGAGGTGGGTGAGAATGGAAGCATGTGTCCATGGGTTACCTGACGTTCCAGCCATAGTAGTGGACCAGGTACAGGACATCTCCGGCATCATCGTTCTCAGTCTTCTTGATGTTGGCCTCGTATATCTTCTGGGTCTTCCCTCGGCCGTACTTCACCTTCACCTTAGTCCCTGTCACAGAGTCTTCTGAGTCCTCGTCCTCAGCCCTGTACACACGCAGCACATCAAAACAGGGCCAAAGGAAAAAACCTATGCACAGAAAAGCTTAGCCTAATGACTCATAATCCTGAATAGTTCCGCTGCTCTTCTGACGATCACTACATACATTGTCTGAAACTGACATCCTAGAATTTGTTTGTGTGACATCAAAATGAGGGGCGTACAAAACAAATTCAACAGCGATTAACCAATCAGAGTATCAACGTTGACGTCATTATGTAGGCCGGCTCTGGCCAAACCCATCGGTTTCTAGGACCAACCAGAAAGGTCAGAATGTGTTTGCATTACAGAAGTCGGCAGGGAGGGAGGAAAATCCAGGGCCTTGTTCAGTTGCCAAATATTCTTGAATGTTGCAGATAGAAATGCCATGAATAGAGCCGATGTGATTCCTTATTCTACATGTCGGAGTCGTGTTTGATCTACATAGCCTATTTCTATTTGAACACGCCCCAGACTCATTGTAGAGAAAGAACATTAGTGGGCGAGGCGTTTGGCCGGAGCAATGTGGATGGGTAACCAGGCAACAGAAAAGCTGTCCCAAATAGCCTTTTAAATCTTTTAGTAACCCAACCCATGCATACTTACGGTGCCCATTCACAAAAATAAAAGCTAGCTGCTCATGTTTAGCTGATCACCCTTGCCTAAAATATCCCTAATCATGACTTGAATCAAAAGGTGATTGTGTAAATCAACATACAAGTTCCAAATGCAGGTAAAATAAAGAAGCAGCTGCTAGCTAACCTCCAAAAGCAGGTTACTATCACCATTAACACAGGTTCAAAGCTTGTTCAACATACAGTGCCCTCAGTAAATATTCATACCCCTTGACTGATTCCACATTGTGTTACAGCCTGAATTCAACATTTATTAAAAAGTATTTATCACCCATCTACATACAGTGGGGGGAAAAAGTATTTAGTCAGCCACCAATTATGCAAGTTCTCCCACTTAAAAAGATGAGAGGCCTGTAATTTTCATCATAGGTACACGTCAACTATGACAGACAAAATGAGAGAAAGAAATCCAGAAAATCACATTGTAGGATTTTTTATGAATTTATTTGCAAATTATGGTGGAAAATAAGTATTTGGTCAATAACAAAAGTTTCTCAATACTTTGTTATATACCCTTTGTTGGCAATGACACAGGTCAAACGTTTTCTGTAAGTCTTCACAAGGTTTCCACACACTGTTGCTGGTATTTTGGCCCATTCCTCCATGCAGATCTCCTCTAGAGCAGTGATGTTTTGGGGCTGTCGCTGGGCAACACGGACTTTCAACTCCCTCCAAAGATTTTCTATGGGGTTGAGATCTGGAGACTGGCTAGGCCACTCCAGGACCTTGAAATGCTTCTTACGAAGCCACTCCTTCGTTGCCCGGGCGGTGTGTTTGGGATCATTGTCATGCTGAAAGACCCAGCCACGTTTCATCTTCAATGCCCTTGCTGATGGAAGGAGGTTTTCACTCAAAATCTCACGATACATGGCCCCATTCATTCTTTCCTTTACACGGATCAGTCATCCTGGTCCCTTTGCAGAAAAACAGCCCCAAAGCATGATGTTTCCACCCCCATGCTTCACAGTAGGTATGGTGTCCTTAGGATGCAACTCAGCATTCTTTGTCCTCCCAACACGACGAGTTGAGTTTTTACCAAAAAGTTCTATTTTGGTTTCATCTGACCATATGACATTCTCCCAATCCTCTTCTGGATCATCCAAATGCACTCTAGCAAACTTCAGACGGGCCTGGACATGTACTGGCTTAAGCAGGGGGACACGTCTGGCACTGCAGGATTTGAGTCCCTGGCGGCGTAGTGTGTTACTGATGGTAGGCTTTGTTACTTTGGTCCCAGCTCTCTGCAGGTCATTCACTAGGTCCCCCTGTGTGGTTCTGGGATTTTTGCTCACCGTTCTTGTGATCATTTTTGAATCAACTGTGGGGTGAGATCTTGCGTGGAGCCCCAGATCGAGGGAGATTATCAGTGGTCTTGTATGTCTTCCATTTCCTAATAATTGCTCCCAAAGTTGATTTCTTCAAACCAAGCTGCTTACCTATTGCAGATTCAGTCTTCCCAGCCTGGTGCAGGTCTACAATTTTGTTTCTGGTGTCCTTTGACAGCTCTTTGGTCTTGGCCATAGTGGAGTTTGGAGTGTGACTGTTTGAGGTTGTGGACAGGTGTCTTTTATACTGATAACAAGTTCAAACAGGTGCCATTAATACAGGTAACGAGTGGAGGACAGAGGAGCCTCTTAAAGAAGAAGTTACAGGTCTGTGAGAGCCAGAAATCGTGCTTGTTTGTAGGTGACCAAATACTTATTTTCCACCATAATTTGCAAATAAATTCATTAAAAATTCTACAATGTGATTTTCTGGATTTTTTTTCCTCATTTTGTCTGTCATAGTTGACGTGTACCTATGATGAAAATTACAGGCCTCTCATCTTTTTAAGTGGGAGAACTTGCACAATTGGTGGCTGACTAAATACTTTTTTTCCCCACTGTACAATACCCCATAATGACAACGTGAAAACATGTTTTCAGAAATGTTTTCAAATGTATTGAAAATTAAATATCTAATTTACATAAGTATTCACACCCGAGTCAATACTTTGTAGAAGGACCGTAGACAGCTTTTAGTCTTTCTGGATAAATCGAAGTGCTTTCCACACCTGGATTGTGCAACATTCACCCATTACGCTTTTCAAAATTCATCAAGCTCTGTCAAATTGGTTGTTGATCATTGCTAAACAACCATTTTCAGGTCTTGCCATAGATTTTTAAGTAGATTTAAGTCTAAACTGTTCATTGGCCACTCAGGAACATTCACTGTCATCTTGGTAAGCAGCTCTAGTGTAGATTTGGCCTTGTGTTTTAGGTTACTTAAAGGTTAATTAAATCTCCCAGTGTCTGGTGGAAAGCAGACTGAACCAGGTTTTCCTCTATGATTTTGCCTGTGCTTAGCTCCATCAAGTTTATTTTTATCCTGAGAAACTCCCCAGTCGTTAACGATTACAAGCATACAGTGCCTTTAGAAAGTGTTCAGACCCCTTGACTTTTTCCACGTTGTTACGTTACAGCCTTATTCTAAAAATCTTTATTTTTATTTTTTATGTACCTTCAATCTACACACAATACCATATAATGACAAAGCAAAAACAGGTTTGTAGAAATGTTTGCTAATTTATAAAAAATAAAAAACTGAAATATTACATTTACATAAGTATTCAGACCCTTTACTCAGTACTTTGTTGAAGCACCTTTGGCAGCGATTACAGCCTCAAGTCTTCTTGGGTATTACCCTACAAGCTTGGAACACCTGTACTTGGGGTGTTTCTCACATTCTTCTCTGCAGATCCTCTCAAGCTCTGTCAGGTTAGATGGGGAGCGTTGCTGCATAGCTATTTTCAGGTCTCTCCAGAGATGTTCGATCGGTTTCAAGTCCGGGCTCTGGCTGGGCCACTCAAGGACATTCAGAGACTTGTCCCGAAGCCACTCCTGCATTGTCTTTAGGTGCCTTTTGGCAAATTCCAAGCGGGCTGTCATGTGCCTTTTACTGAGGAGTGGCTTCCGTCTGGCCACTACCATGAAGGCCTGATTGGTGGAGTGCTGCAGAGATGGTTGTCCTTCTGGAAGGCTCTCCCATCTCCACAGAGGAACTCCAGAGCTCTGTCAGAGTGACCACTGGGTTCTTGGTCACTTCCCTGACCAAGGCCCTTCTCCCCCGATTGCTCAGTTTGGCCGGGCGGCCAGCTCTAGGAAGAGTCTTGGTGGTTATCATTCTTAAATGGAAGAAGTTTGTAGAGGCCACTGTGTTCTTGGGGATCGTCAATGCTGCAGAAATGTGTTGGTACCCTTCCCCAGATCTGTGCCTCGACACAATCCTGTCTTGGAGCTCTACAGACAATTCCTTGGACTTCATGGCTTGGTTTTTGCTCTGACATGCTCTGTCAACTGTGGGACCTTATATAGACAGGTGTGTGCCTTCCCAAATCATGCCTAATCAATTGAATTTACCACAGGTGGACTCCAATCAAGTTGTAGAAACATCTCAAGGATGACCAATGGAAACAGGTTGCACCTGAGCTCAATTTGGAGTCTCATAGCAAAGGGTCTGAATACGTAAATAGGTATTTCAGTTGATTATTTTTAACTTTGTAAACATTTCTAAGAGCCTGTTTTCGCTTTGTCATTATGGGGTATTGTGTGTAGATTGCTGTGGAACATTTTTTATTTAATACATTTTAGAATAAGGCTGTAACGTAACAAAATGTGGAAAAAGTCAAGGGGTCTGAATACTTTCCGAATGCACTGTACCCATAACATGATGCGGCTACCACTATGCTTGAAAATATGGAGAGTGGTACTCAGTAATGTGTTGTATTGGATTTGCCCCAAACATAACACTTTTATTCAGGACAAAAAGTTATTTTCTTTGCCACATTTATTTGCAGTATTACTTTTGTGTCTTGTTGCAAACAGGACGCATGTTTTGGAATATTTGTATTCTGTACAGGCTTCCTGTTTTTCACTCTGTCAATGAGGTTAGTATTGTGGAGTAACTACAATGTTTGATCCATCCTCAGTTTTCTCCTATCACATCCATTCAACTCTAACAGTTTTAAAGTCACAATTGGCCTCATGGTGAGTGGTTTAATTTCTCTCCGGAAATTGAGTTAGGAGGGACGTCTGTATCTTTGTAGGGACTGGGTGTACACCATCCAAAGTGTAATTGATAACTTCACCATGCTCAAAGGGATATTCAATGTCTGCTTATTTTATTTTTACGCATCTACCAACAGGTGTCCTTCTTTGCGAGGCATTGGAAAACCTCCCTGGTCTTTGTGGTTGAATCTGTGTTTGAAATTCACTGCTCGACTGAGGGACCTTACAGATAAATGTATGTGTGGGGTACAGAAATCAAAAATCATGTTAAAAACTATTATTGTGCTCAGAGTGAGTCCATGCAACTTGTTAAGCACATTTTCACTCCTGAACTTATTGAGGCTTGCCATAACAAAGAGGCTGAATACTTATTGACTCAAGACATTTCAGCTTTAAATGTTGTATAATTGTTTTTTTTTTTTTTTTTTCCCGCTGACATTATAGAGTATTGTGTGTAAGCCAGTGACCTTTTTTTTATGGACATTTAATCCATTTTAAATTAAGGTTGTAACACAACAAAATGTGGAAAAAGTCAAGGAGTGTGAATGCATTCTGAAGGCACTGTAGATGGAGAAGCTAAGCTGACCTCTCGACAGACCTCGCTGTTCATAAAGATGCAAACGCTTATTTTCATCAAAACCCTGGGCAGGACACGTCGCTTTACCCTGGTAGGCCAGGCTACTCAAGGGTTCTCTACAGACTCCTTTTCTGTGATCGAACAAAACAGTCCTACAGTAACATCACAAAAGACCTTTGGGCTCCCTGTAGAGCCATCAGAACGAGGCCCTCAAACTCAGTGAAGAAGCTTTTCAGCCAGTACAACTGGCACTACTCCAATTTCACATGATATAAATGGGACTCATTCATTAGTTCACACCGTAGCAAAACGTTTTGCAACAAAAATGTGTGTTTCTTATTGGACAAGTTTAGGTAGGTCTTCTCTCCCCGTTTCGGTCAGTTTGCTTCCTAGTGAGAATACGACAGTGAGCTCGGCACACTACAGCAAAACAAAACAATTCCGCTGCACTCCCATCCAATAGGAAACCAACCAGAAAACATGGCATCACAAGACTTTCAGCAAGTATGTGAAACCACACTGAGATTATAATTATATTCTGCCTGTGTGTTACCCAATTCACAACATTCTATTCTGTTCAATGGCAACACATCCTGACAAGTACAAAATGGAGGAACTTGAGAAGATTCATACTTGGCAGCCAATAGACTTGCCCTGAGGTGACATTCATTCATTACCTCATCTTAAACATTCCATTAAATCGATCACCATTAATATTACACTGTGATGTTTCATTAACATTCAACAGTACCGTTCTCCAACTCTCCTCTCGCTGTCCTCATCTTCCCCTTCGTCCTCAGACTCTTTATCGGACTCCTCCAGGCGTCGGCTGCATTTCTTCCCCGGGGTGTCCCCTCCGTCTGACCTGCTGCTTTCTCTTTGACCTCCCGTCTCCTCTCCGCTGGTCTCCCCCACACCCAGACCACTCGGCTCCTGCTCTTTGATCTTCTCCAGCTTGACAGGTTCCTTCGTCTCAGCTTTGACCGGGGTCACAGTGCACCGTCTCCTCCCCTGAGGGAAAGGATTGAGAACAGATTAGTGTCTGGAACTCTGCAAAAAATCTACAGTAACTATAGTACAGCGCTTTCTCACTTTTTCCTCGCCTCTTCCTCAAAACGCATTAGATGAAAAGATCAGATGGGATGAACCCAAGTTCAATTAATTTTGAGAAGGCGAATTGGGAGGAAATCTAACAGAGTTCAGAAAAAGTTGTGTGCAAATCACAAGTAAACCACCACACAGGACAAAAGTTGTTTTTGAAAACTCCTACTAACCCTGGGAGAGGAGATATCTGTGTGGCCCTCTTTGTCACTCTCACTCCCCGACTCAGCCTCCTCCTGGGCAGGCTTGTCCTCTGTGGATGCAACAGACTCAGTCTGGACGGGTGGTGTTGGACCCTGGCTCTCCTTGTCTTTGTCCTTCACCGTTACCTGAAGGACCTGGGCAGCCTTATGCTCTGTCTGGGACTGGGAGGACTGGGAGGCTGGACGAGCCTCGTTGTGGTGGATGGTCCTGAACACGATGCAGGCTGAGCGGCAGTACTCCTCAAAGCCATACAGGTACCTACACACAAATACACACACAATGTATTAGCACTCCCTCAAGCACAGTAAATGTCACTCACCACACACTTCTAAATAATCTTGGTGCAAAAAACTTAAAATATCCATCAATCAAATGTATTTATATAGACTCACAGTAATCCGGCCTAGAACACAGTTTGAATTTATCACGGCAACAGACATTGAGTTCATTTCTCAACGTCAACGCAAATGACTGTCAATAGCTTCAAAATAAAGACTTGTCTGGTAAAGAGCGCTTTTCAGTCTGAGTGAGGAGAACCAACACCTACTTTCTGTAGGCAGTCTTCACATTGTAGGAGGCAGCAGAGTTTAGGATGGGAATGCCCAGGTCCATGTAGATTTGTTTCCACACAGATCCACTTTCAATCTGCAAATAACAACCATCAACGTAACATATGAATAATCATTCATGTAGGCTACGCTATATCAATAATATCTTCAACAAAACAAACAGGGAGGTAGTGAGACAAAACGCTACCAACGTCAAAATTGTTAAGTCATATTTCAGGCCTGTTGTTTTCTTTGCCCTCATAGCAGCTGACGTGCAAAACACCAGCCAGACAGCCCCTCCATGACCTTGATAGTCCACTAAAAATCTAAATGCTGCAAGTCTGCTTACAGAGGCAGAGGAGAGACAAAGCTGGTGAGAACAGGTTGTTCACATTAGATGACGAGACCAGACAGTCTGTGAGGAGGACTCAGATGAAAGGGGGGGGGGGGGGGGGGTAGCTGTATAGATGAGATTCACTCACTTTGTCACAGCCCCCCTGCTGGTAGACTAGCCTGAAGAGCTTGAAGAGGTTCAGATCCTTGTAGCCGAGCACAGGAGGCTTGTTAATTGGCGTCCCTGAGGATGAGAGGACAAGAGGAGCAGTGACGTTACACAGAGGAAAAGCAGCACATTCTAGGGCATTCCAAATCACAGGACCATTGTTCTTATTTCATGTGTTGTCGTTGAATGACTGATAAGGATGCATTATGTGATAAAGAACTGCAGTGAAATCAAATGAAGGATGGATGGGGCATTCAGAGCCAGAGCCGGCCAGGTAGTGTGTTTGTGCGCTTGCAGTAAAGTGTTGTGCGCAGTAAGTCATATGAAAGATCACCAATTGGCCCATGTCAAAAGTAGGGCACTATATAGGAAATAGGGTGCTATTTGGGACATATAAACGGGGAGATGGCAGGAGGATATGGGACAGGGCTGAAGGCTCACCTCGATCCTCCATGAACTTATACAGCTGCTGCAGGAAGTGATCCCTCTCCTCTGGGTCCGCCTCGTCCTCAGGCTGCTGGGAAGGTAAACGCAACACACCTTGGTTAAAATAGGCAAATGAGGCATCAACCGACGATATGTTAGTCATTATCAGTCAGTGATTGTGCTGCTGTTTTGACAAGGTCTCTTGACAAACATATTTTAGCCCCAAATATCAATGCAACTAACTTGGTAAAATAAAGGTAACGTTTTTAAAAAGAGGGAAGACAACGAGGCATGCACGTAAAACCCCATCAGTCTCGACATAGCTACCGTTGAAGTCGGAAGTTTACATACACCTTAGCCAAATACATTTAAACTAAGTTTTTCACTATTCCTGACATTTAATCCTAGTAGAAATTCCCTGTCTTAGGTCAGTTAGGATCACCACATTATTTTAAGAACGTGAAATGTCAGAATAATAGTAGAGAGAATGATTTCAGCTTTTATTTCTTTCATCACATTCCCAGTGGGTCAGAAGTTTACATACACTCAATTAGTATTTGGTAGCATTGTCTTTAAATTGTTTAACTTGGGTCAAACGTTTCAGGTAGCCTTCCACAAGCTTCCCACAATAAGTTGGGTGAATTTTGGCCCATTCCTCCTGACAGAGCTGGTGTAACTGAGTCAGGTTTGTAGGCCTCCTTGCTCGCACACGCTTTTTCCTCCAAACATAATGATGGTCATTATGGCCAAACAGTTCTATTTTTGTTTGTTTCATCAGACTAGAGGACATCTCCAAAAAGTATGATCTTTGTCCCCATGTGCAGTTGCAAACCGTAGTCTGGCTTTTTCAAACCGTAGTCTTGCTTTTTTATGGCAGTTTTGGAGCAGTGGCTTCTTCCTTGCTGAGCGGCCTTTCAAGTTATGTCGATATAGGACTCGTTTTACTGTGGATATAGATACTTTTGTACCTGTTTCCTCCAGCATCTTCACAAGGTCCTTTGCTGTTGTTCTGGGATTTATTTGCACTTTTCGCACCAAAGTACATTAATCTCTAGGAGACAGAACGTGTCTCCTTCCTGAGCGGTATGACGGCTGCGTGGTCCCATGGTGTTTATACTTGCATACTATTGTTTGTACAGATTGTGGTACCTTCATGTGTTTGGAAATTGCTCCCAAGGGTTAACCAGACTTGTGGAGGTCTACAATTTTTTTTCTGAGGTCTTGGCTGATTTATTTTGATTTTCCCATGATGTCAAGCAAAGTGGCACTGAGTTTGAAGGTAGGCCTTGAAATACATCCACAGGTACACCTCCAATTTACTAAAATGATGTCAATTAGCCTATCAGAAGCTTCTAAAGCCATGACATCATTTTCTGGATTTTCCAAGCTGTTTAAAGGCACAGTCAACTTAGTGTATGTAAACTTCTGACCCACTGGAATTGTGATACAGTGAATTATAAGTGAAATAATCTGTCTGTAAACAATTGTTGGAAAAATTACTTTTGTCATGCACAAAGTAGATGTCCTAACCGACTTGCCAAAACTATAGTCTGTTAACAAGAAATTTGTGGAGTGGTTGAAAAAGTTAATGACTCCAACCTAAGTATGTAAACTTCCGACTTCAACTGTACATTCCTGTAGAGCTAGCAATGCTACTAGAGCAGAGGAAAATGTTACGTATACCAAGGCCAGTAGTCAGTCAGGTAACAGATTATTTTGAGCTCATACTTTGCTTCTGAAAATGTTGCTCATTCTGTTACTTGTCAAGCCAAGTCACTTGCATGAAATAATTTACAAAAAAAAAAGTCAAGGGGTCTGAATACTTCCTGAATGTACTGTGTGTGTAATGTGTGAACTATACCATGATTGACATAAAATGCTCCAGACACAAGTAAATACACAGTAAAGTGAACCTATTTTAGGACAGCCTGGCTGGCACGACTCCACTGGACCACAGCCAATCCCCACAGCCCCTCTCTAAACGATAGGAAGTAGCTGCCGGTTGCTATGGGAACAGTGTCGGAAACCACACAAATGGCCATTTGTCCAAAACTCTGGGAGCAAGAAGAATGAAACCATTGTTGTTCCTGAGGCAGGGGCTGTCCCACACACTGGGGGTGTGTCCCAAATGGCACCCTAGTGACTATGGGCCCTGGTCAAATGTAGTTACCAGTACACTAAAAAGGAATATAGTGCAATTTGGGATGCATCCAGGGTCTATTGGGAGTCTGGCTCAATCAAGGTGATTCAGTAGCCATAAGATGTCAGAGTGGGAATGCAATGAAGGCATTGTACAAGCCAACTTCATTGACAGACCAGGCAGGTGAGGTCACTACAGTGTGCAATACAACAGCTGGGTTTACATTACTCAATGGAGACGGCTCTCGTTTTGAACCCTTATCATGGCAAAATAAGATAAGAACTTCCTTTTTTCTCCCTCCGTGAAGTAGTACCTATTACGATAGCCAAGCCCAGGCTTCACAAGCAGGTTATGATGGCAATTGTTAGAACATTACACTTCAGTATACAGTTAAACTACTGCTTTGTCAAAACTGATAGAAATGTCTAATTTCTGAATGTGGCAAGGTGCTGGTCCAGTCAGCACCTAAAAGGAAAGTGGTTTACTTGTAGGCTTGAAATAACCTTCTAGCCTGAAACAGAACAGTGTTCTTCTTACCTCGTCGTCATCCTCCTCCTTCTCCTCCTCCTCCTCCTCACTATCTTCTCCTTCCTTGTCCTCCTCCTCATCACTGCTGGAGGATTCTAAGATCTCGCTCATGTCCATCTTCCAACTGTCAGGGACCACCTTGGTTTTGAGGAAATACACTGCCTCCTCCAAACCTGGGAATAGCCAGAGGAAGTCAAGAGTTACAGGTTAATTTTATGTCAATTCAGTTGACTTGGACAATACATTTCTCCATAGGAACACCTATGTGAGCCAACCTTACCATTCCTCGACGAGAACTCAGCTTTAGATACGCTATCCATGTTCACTTCATGGATCTCCTTTCTTGCCACCGTGCGACTGAAAAACCCCCCACAAAAAAAACATCTAAATGCATGTGTATTCAGCTACAAATGTTACCAATTCTGAGAACACTATAATAGCAAATAATAGCAAAAATACATGCATGTTTACATTGCCCTTGGCTAGAAAATGTATGGGGCAAATATCAAACAAGACATAATATTTGTAAACTGACCAGAATTTCCTTAACTCTACAACACAAGAGTAGGATGAACAATACTTACAATTTGGAGTCTGCAAATGATCTCACTAAACATTGGTCTTTCCTGACTGTCAGGTCATCATTGCAGCTGGGTGATATCACCTAGACAAAACCCGTAAAGAAAGGGAAAGTTAGGAGCAATTACAAATAGTGCTGGGCGATATATTGTGAATACCGATATGGATCCACGTACCATCTATAAAGGTATTTTTATACAGTGCTCAATAAATGAAAAGTTCAACAAGTTGGACAACGTCACTATCAGTTTCTTCCTAGTTTGGTTGAGTACAAAACCATCAGAATAGAGAAAGCCTATTAAAATCACTTAGAATTCAGGTTGCCACCATTCTAGGGTTATGCACTACTCAAATCATATTTAGAACTTGTATTATTCAGAAACATAAAATACCGTCAAATATGAGAAAAATATCATACGATATTTTGTCTGTATCACCCAGCCCTAATATCAAAGTATCATCATACAAGAAGGACCAAAGGCCAAGGAAGGTTATTATCCATTTGCTTTCAGTTTCACAATGGGTTCTGTTTTTCAGGTGGTTGTATAAACCAGTAGTTTCCAACCCTTTTTGAACCGTGGCACACCTTGATGGGATCCCCCCCCCCCCCAAAATGTAAAGATGAAATGGGGTTTATTGGAACGTCATGATAATTAATTTGTGTATACCCCTTTAAGAGTGTCCTGCGAATTGGTGCTAGAAATAAAAAAAGTTTGCTCCGGTAAAATAGGTCTTCAGTTTGGAGACAAGCGGTTTTCTGCTTTGTAAATGAGCAACCACGGACACTAAGCCATGTTTGTTTCTATGCCAGAGGCTGTGGTACAGCTAAACCTAATCAGACATGCTTGTGGTAAAGGTTCTCACAGGAAAAGTCAAATAATACAAATGACTTTGCTCATGCACTCCCCTCAAATAATACAAATCCAACAACAGCCTGAGCACACCGGACTTGAAACAATGATACAGATGTAACCATGTGCTATTCAATGTATTATCTGAGCGGCACTGGTGCTCCCAAGTCAAAATTCCATTTGCATTCCATAGTTAATGTTTATAAGGAAGAGAGACCGACAGGCAGAGACCGACAGGCAGCGAGAGAGACCGAGAGGCCGGAGAGACCGAGAGAGAGGCCGAGCAGAGAGAGAGAGAGGGGCAGCGAGCGAGAGAGAAAGGCAGCGAGCGAGCGAGAGAGAGAGAGGCAGCGAGCGAGAGAGAGAGAGGCAGCGAGCGAGAGAGAGGCAGCGAGCGGAGAGAGAGAGGCAGCGAGCGAGGAGAGAGAGGCAGCGAGCGAGCGAGAGAGAAAGAGGCAGCGAGCGAGCGAGAGAGAGAGGCAGCGAGCGAGCGAGAGAGAGAGAGGCAGCGAGCGAGCGAGAGAGAGAGAGGCAGCGAGCGAGCGAGAGAGAGAGGCAGCGAGCGAGCGAGAGAGAGAGAGGCAGCGAGCGAGCGAGAGAGAGGCAGCGAGCGAGCGAGAGAGAGGCAGCGAGCGAGCGAGAGAGAGAGGCAGCGAGCGACGAGAGAGAGAGAGCCAGCGAGCGAGCGAGAGAGAGGCAGCGAGCGAGCGAGCGAGAGAGAGGCAGCGAGTGAGCGAGAGAGAGGCAGCGAGCGACGAGAGAGAGAGCGCGAGCGAGCGAGAGAGAGAGGGCAGCGAGCGAGAAGAGAGGCAGCGGGGCGAGGAAGAGAAAAGGCAGCGAGCGAGAGAGAGAGAGAGGCAGCGAGCGAGAGAGAGAGAGGCAGCGAGCGAACGAGAGAGAGAGGCAGCGAGCGAGCGGAGAGAGAGGGCAGCGAGCGAGCGAAATAGGGGCAGCGGCGAGCGAGCGAGAGAGGCAGCGACGAGCGAGAGAGAGAGGCAGCGAGCGAGCGAGAAGAGGCACGAGCGAGCGGAGAGAGGGGCAGCGAGCGAGCGAGCGAGAGGGGCAGCGAGCGAGCGAGAGAGAGAGGCAGCGAGCGAGCGAAGAGAGAGGTGCAAGCGACGATGGAGAGAGAGGCACGAGCGAGCAGAAGAAGAAGGCAGCGAGCGAGCGGAAGAGAGACGGCAGCGATGCATGCGAGAGAGGGCAGCGAGCGAGAGAGAGAGAGAAGCACGAGCTGGAGAGAGAGGTCAGCAGGAAGAGAGAGGTCAAACGAGAGAGATGAGGCCAGCGAAGCCTAAGAAGAGAGCAACGAGAGAGAGAGAGCACGAGAGAGAAGACGGAACGAGAGATAGAAAAAGGACGAGAGGAGAGTAGGGCCGAGAGAGAGAGAGCATAGAGGCATGCGAGAAGAGAGCGAGAGAGAGAGAGGTCAGTCCAGAGAGAGAAGTCATGAGGAGAGGAGTGCAGCGAAGAGAGAGTAGAAGGAAGAGAGCGAGAGGCAGAGAGAAGAGGGCAGCGAGAGAGAGAGAGGGCAGCGAGAGAAGAGAGAGAGGGCAGCGAGAGAGAGAGAGAGAGTCAGAGGAGAGAAGAGGCAGCGAGGAGAGAGAGGCAGCGAGCGAGAGAGAGAGCAGGAGCGAGCGAGAGAGAGAGAGGCAGCGAGCGAGAGAGAAAGAGCAGCGAGCGAGCGAGAGAGAGAGGCAGCGAGCGAGCGAGAGAGAGAGGCAGCGAGCGAGCAGAGAGAGAGCAGCAGCGAGCGAGACGAGAGAGAGAGAGCAGCGAGCGAGCAGAGAGAGAGGCAGCGAGCAGAGCAGAAGAGAGAGAGAGAGGAGCGGCGAGAGAGAGGCAGCGAGCGAGCGAGAGAGGAGCGCAGCGAGAGAGAGAGAGGCAGCGAGCGACGAGAGAGTAGAGGGCAGCGAGCGAGCGAGAGAGAGCAGCGAGCGAGCGAGAGAGAGAGGCAGCGACGAGCAGAGAGAGAGAGGCAGCGAGCGAGCGAGAGAGAGGAGGCGAGCGAGCAGAGAGAGAGAGGCAGCGAGCGAGAGAGAGAGAGGCAGCGAGCGAGCGAGAGAGAGGCAGCGAGCGAGGGCGAGAGAGAGAGAGAGGACAGCGAGAAGAGAGCACGAGAGAGAGAGAGAGAGCAAGCGAGGAGAGAGAGAGCAGCGAGCGAGCAGAGAGAGAGAGAGGCACGAGCGAGAGAGAGAGAGGGCAGCGAGAGAGAGAGAGCAGCGAGCGAGAGAGAGAGAGGCAGCGAGGAGAGAGAGAGAGAGAGAGCAGGAGGCGAGAGAGAGAGAGAGGCAGCGAGAGAGAGAAGAGAGAGCAGAGAAGAGAGAGAGAGGCAGCGAGAGAGAGAGAGGCAGCGAAGAAGAGAGAGAGAGCAGCGAGAGAGAGAGCAGCAGCGAGAGAGAGAGGAGAGAGAGAAGAGAGAGAGAGCAAAGAGAGAGCAGCAATGAGAGAGAGGAGCCCGAGAGAGAGAGAGATAGAGGCATGCAGAGAGAGAGAAGAGAGCAAAGGAGAGAGAGAGATGGGGGCAGCGAGAGAGAGAGGCAGCAGAGAGATAGAGAGAGAGAGAAGAGGGCAGCGAGAGAAGAGAGAGGCAGCGAGAGAGAGAGAGGGCAGCGAATAAGATAGAGAGAGAGATAGAATGCAGCAGAGAGAGAGTGAGGGAGAGAGAAGGGCAGCCGAGCAGAGAAGGTGAGCATGCAGCAGAGAGAGGAGACGAGCGGAAGAGAGAGGAGAGCAGCGAGCGAAGCGAGAGAGAGAGGCAGCGAGCGAGATAGAGGCAGCGAGCGACAGAGAGAGAGGCACGAGCGAGCGAGATAGAGAGGTACGCGACGAGCAGAGAGAGGCAGCGAGCGAGCGAGAGAGAGAGAGCAGCGAGCGAGCGAGAGAGAGAGGCAGCAGACGGCGAAGAAGCAGCGCGAGAGAGAGGATGCAGCGAGAGAGAGAGAGGCATGCGAGAGAGAGAGAGGAGCAAGCGAGAGAGAGCACGAGAGAGAGAGAGATGAGAGGCAGCGAGGAGAGAGAGCAGCGAGAAGAGAGAGCCGAGAGAGAGATAGATAGAGGCAGCGAGAGAGAGAGAGGCACGGAGCGAGACGAGAGGAGAAGGCAGCGAGAGAAGCGAGCGAGCGAGTAGAAGAAGGCAGCAAGAGAAGATGCAGCGAGTAGATAGAGAGCAAGCGAAAGCAGAGAGAGAGAGAGAGAGCACGACGAGCAGAGAGAGAGAGAGGGGCAGCGATGAGAGCGAGAAGAGCAAGCCGAAAAGAGGGGGGCACGAGTAGAGATAGAGAGGGCATCGAAGAGAGAAGAGAGAGGCAGCGAGAGAGAGAGGCAACGACGAGGAGAGAGAGAGAGGAGCAGAGGATCGAGAGAAAGAAGGCAGCGAGAGAGAGAGAGATAGGCAGCGAGCGAGCGAGAGAGAGGCAGCGAGCGAGGAGGAGAGAGAGAGGCAGCGAGCGAGAGAGAGAGAGAGGCAAGCGAGCGAGCGAGAGAGAGGCAGCGAGCGAGAGAGAGAGAAGAGGCAGCGAGCGAGAGAGAGAGAGCAGCGAGAAAGAGAGAGAGAGAGAGAGAGAGAGGCAGCGAGAGAGAGGCAGCGAGAGAGCGAGAGAAGAGGAGCGAGAGAGAGAGAGCAGCCGAGAGAGAGAGAGAGAGGGCAGCGAGCGAGCGAGAGAGAGCAGGAGCAAGCGAGAGAAGAGAGAGGCACGAGCAGCGGGGAGAAAAGAGAGGCAGCGACGAGAGAGAGGCAGAGCGAGCGAGAGAGAGAGAGAGGCAGCAGAGCGAGAGAGAGAGAGGCAGCGAGAGAGAGAGAGAGAGGCAGCGAGAGAGAGAGGCAAGCGAGAGAGAGAGAGAAGGCAGCGAGAGAGAGAGAGGCAAGCGAGAGAGAGAGAGAGAGAGCAGCGAGAGAGAGAGGCAGCGAGAGAGAGGAGAGAGAGAGGCATGCGAGAAGAGAGAGAGAGGCAGCAGAGAGAGAGAGCAGCGAGAGAGAGAGGCAGCGAGAGAGAGAGAGAGAGAGAGAGGGCAGAGAGAGAGAGAGAGGGGCAGCGAGAGAGGAGAGAGAGAGAGGGCAGCGAGAGAGAGAGAGAGAGCAGCGAGAGAGAGAGAGGCAGCGAGAGAGAGAGGAGAGAGGGGCAGCGAAGAGAGGCAGCGGAGAGAGAGAGCAGCGAGAGAGAGAGAGAGAGAGGCAGCGAGAGAGAGAGAGAGAGGCAGCGAGAGAGAGGGGCAGCGAGAGAGAGAGAGTCAGCGAGAGAGAGAAGAGAGAGAGAGCGCGAGAAGAGAGAGAGAGAGGAGGCATGCGAGAGAGAGAGAGAGAGAGGGGCAGCGAGAGAGAGAGAGTCAGCGAGAGAGAGAGGGCAGCGAGAGAGAGGGGCACGAGAGAGAGAGAGAGAGGCAGCGAGAGAGAGAGAGAGAGAGGAGGCAGCGAGAGAGAGAGAAGAGAAGGAGAGAGAGAAGAGGAGCAGCGGAGAGAGAGAGTGAGGAGAGCGAGAGAGAGGGCAGCGAGAAGAGGGGCATGAGAGAGAGAGAGAGAGCAGCGAGAGGGAGAGAGGCAGCGAGAGAGAGAGCACGAAGAGAGAGAGAGAGAGAGAGGAAAGGAAGAGAGAGAGGACAGAGAGAGAGAGAGGACAGCGAGAGAGAGAGAGGAACAGCGAGAGAGAGAGAGAGAGGGACAGAGAGAGGAGAGAGAGAGGAGAGAGGAGAGGCAGCGGAGAGAGATAGAGAGAGAGAGCAGGAGAACAGCGAGAGAGGCAGAGAGAGAGAGAGAGAGGCAGTCGAGAGAGAGAGAGAGAGAGCGGAGAGAGAGAGAGAGAGAGAGAGGCGAGAGAGAGAGAGAGCGAGAGAGAGAAGAGGCAGCGAGAGAGAGAGACAAGCAGAGAGAGAGAGAGACCGACAGGCAGCGAGTAAGAGACCGACAGGCACGAGAGAGAGAGACCGACAGCGCGAGAAGAGAGACCGACGACAGGCAGCGAGAGAGAGAGACCGACAGCAGCGAGAGAGAGACCGACAGGCAGCGAGAGAGAGAGACCGACAGCAGCGAGAAGAGAGACCGACAGGCAGCGAGAGAGAGAGACCGACAGGCAGCGAGAGAGAGAGACCGACAGGCAGCGAGAGAGAGAGACCGACAGGCAGCGAGAGAGAGAGACCGACAGGCAGCGAGAGAGAGAGACCGACAGGCAGCGAGAGAGAGAGACCGACAGGCAGCGAGAGAGAGAGAACCCGACAGCAGCGAGAGAGAGAGACCGACAGGCAGCGAGAGAGACGCAGGGGGCAAGAGAAGACCGACAGGCAGCGAGAGAGAGAGAGAGACCGACAGAGTGTGTGTGTGGCTAGGGTCTATGCATGATGTGACTTACCAGGGCCAGGTACCAGGATGTCCGGTCTGTCCCAGTCTGAATACTGGCCACTTTACCCAGCAGGTCATCGTTTAGCCTCCTCCTGTCCTCATTGTCGTCATCACTGGAGGACGAGTCCTTTTCATCATTCGCACTGATGGGTTGAACAAGGGGACTACGTCAGAACATAATCTTTACAGGTCAGAAGCTATAGTCTGTCTCTGTCAAAACCTTCAGTCTCAGTCAGAAGCTTCTACAGAGCTCTATAGAAAGCTCAACACTATCAACCACAAAGGCCTATGGGAGCCAGTTACAAATGTTCAACTGTAAACAGTCATTACATTTTATTCAACTTCATCATAAATCTAACTATGTTGTTGTTTACTGTGGGTGCAGAAAGTATTCAGACCCCTTGACTTTTTTTCACATTTTGTTACGTTACAGCCTTATTCTAAAAATGTATTTATTTAAAATTCTCAATCTACACACAATACCCCATAATGACAAAGCAAAAACAGGTTTTTTGAAATGTTTGCAAGTTTATTAAAAATTAAAATATTACATTTACATAAGTATTCAGACCCTTTACTCAGTACTTTGTTGAAGCACATTTGGCAGCAATTACAGCCTCAAGTATTCTTGGGTATGACCCTACAAGCTTGGAACACCTGTACTTGGGGTGTTTCTCACATTCTTCTCTGCAGATCCTCTCAAGCTCTGTCAGGTTAGATGGGGAGCGTTGCTGCATAGCTATTTTCAGGTCTCTCCAGAGATGTTCGATCGGTTTCAAGTCCGGGCTCTGGCTGGGCCACTCAAGGACATTCAGAGACTTGTCCCGAAGCCACTCCTGCATTGTCTTTAGGTGCCTTTTGGCAAATTCCAAGCGGGCTGTCATGTGCCTTTTACTGAGGAGTGGCTTCCGTCTGGCCACTACCATGAAGGCCTGATTGGTGGAGTGCTGCAGAGATGGTTGTCCTTCTGGAAGGCTCTCCCATCTCCACAGAGGAACTCCAGAGCTCTGTCAGAGTGACCACTGGGTTCTTGGTCACTTCCCTGACCAAGGCCCTTCTCCCCCGATTGCTCAGTTTGGCCGGGCGGCCAGCTCTAGGAAGAGTCTTGGTGGTTACAAACTTCTTCCATTTAAGAATGATAGAGGCCACTGTGTTCTTGGGGATCGTCAATGCTGCAGAAATGTTTTGGTACCCTTCCCCAGATCTGTGCCTCGACACAATCCTGTCTCGGAGCTCTACGGACAATTCCTTCAACCTCATGGCTTGGTTTTTGCTCTGACATGCACTGTCAACTGTGGGACCTTATATAGACAGGTGTGTGCCTTTTCAAATCATGTACAATCAATTGAATTTAGCACAGGTGGACTCCAATCAAGTTGTAGAAACATTTCAAGGATGATCAATGGAAACAGGAAGCACCTGGGCTAAATTTCGAGTCTCATAGCAAAGGGTCTGAATACTTATGTAAATAAGGTATATTTTTATTTGCAAACATTTCATAAAACCAGTTTTTGCTTTGTCATTATGGGGTAGTGTGTAAATTGATGTAAAAAAAAAAATTTTTTTTGAATAAGGCTGTAACGTAACAAAATGTGGAAAAAGGGGTCTGAATACTTCCAAATGCACTGTATAATGACCATGTCTGAATGTTTACAGGCAGAGCATCTAAAGAAGCATGCTGTAAGCGGTAGTGCAGGTTAGGTCATCAAACCGTATCCAAAGCAAGAACAACACAGTGGTTCCACATGGCCCACTGCAGGTCAAACCGTATCCAAAGCAAGAACACAGTGGTTCCACATGGCCCACTGCAGGCTAGCATTAAAGGAAAACTCCACTCAAAAACGTTTTGGGTATATATTTTTTCCATTAGTCCACTGTTGATACAATCCTAAAATGTTTTGCATATCAGCAGTCAAGTTTTCAAGCTATTGGACTTTCAAGAAGCAAAATGCATCATATGATGATGTGGCAAGTGACATTTTGCTTCTTGAAAGTCCAATAGCTTGAAAACATGACATAAAATAAACCAAAAGGTTGGTTTTGAGTGGCGTTTTGCTTTAAAAGGTTAACTTGGAGGAGGGGGGGGGGGGGGGGGTAAAGGTGTGTTTTAAAATAAAATAGGGGTTAAGAGAAAGGTAAAAGAAGGGTCTACTTACTGAGCCTGAGATGACCTCCTTCCTCCGCGGTTTCCCTTCTTCCCGATGACGGGGGTGCCAAAGTGCTCCGGGTTGGTCAGGGGCAGTTGGTCCAATGTCTAGATAACAACAGAGAGAGATAGAGAGGAGTGAGGAGAGGGAGCAAGAAAGAGAGGGGTCTTAATCAATATATCAAAGAGCAAAAATAACAGAGAGACCACCAAATCAAATGGCCAAGAAGATAGTGAGGTCAGAAGACCAGTCCTCTTACCTCGCTCTCAGCAAAATGTCTCTCTCCCTTCAGACACAGAGACGTCCTGCGGAGTGTCTTCTCATCCCCATCGTCAAACACTGGAACACAGTGGGAAGCAGTTCCCTTGTAATGTTTACATTTGACATTTATTCTTAACCAGAACGACTTACAGGAGCAATTAGGGTTAAGTGCCTTACTCAAGGGCATGTCGACAGAGTTTTCACCTAGTCGGCTCGGGGATTTGAACCAGCAACCTTTCGGTTACTGACCCAACGCTCTTAACCGCTAGGCTACCTGCCGCCCAGATTGTATTTATGTTAAACATTAACACCAAAGTATACTGCTTCCCCAGGATCATATAGACAAATAGTATTATTGACCAAGAGTCAGTTATGACAGAGAATAGTCAAAATGCAACCAACCAACAAAGACGTACAGTGCCTTGCAAAAGTATTCATCCACCTTGGCGTTTTTCCTATTGTTTTGCATTACAACCTGTAATTTAAATGGATTTTTATTTGGATTTCATGTCATGGACATACACAAAATAGTCTAAATTGGTGAAGTGAAATGAAAAACATAACTTCTTGGCGATGGTCTTGTAGCCCATTCCAGCCTTGTGTAGGTCTACAATCTTGTCCCTGACATCCTTGGAGAGCTCTTTGGTCTTGGCCATGGTGGAGAGTTTGGAATCTGATTGATTGCTTCTGTGGACAGGTGTCTTTTATACAGGTAACAAGCTGAGATTAGGAGCACTCCCTTTAAGAGTGTGCTCCTAATCTCAGCTCGTTACCTGTATAAAAGACACCTGGGAGCCAGAAATCTTTCTGATTGAGAGGGGGTCAAATACTTATTTCCCTCATTAAAATGCAAATCAATTTATAACATTTTTGACATGCTTTTTTCTGGATTATTTTGTTGTTATTCTGTCTCTCACTGTTCAAATAAACCTACCATTAAAATTATAGACTGATAATGTCTGTCAGTGGGCAAACGTACAAAATCATCAGGGGATCAAATACTTTTTTCCCCTCACTGTATGTATTCACCCCCTTTGCTATCAAGCCCCTAAATAAGATCTGGTGCAACCAATTACCTTTAGAAGTCACATAATTAGTTAAAGTCCACCTGTGTGCAATCTAAGTGTCACATAATCTGTCACATGATCTCAGTATATATACACAACTGTTCTGAAAGGCCCCAGAGTCTGCAACACCACTAAGCAAGGGGCACCACCAAGCAAGCGGCACCATGAAGAACAAGGAGCTCTCCGAACAGGTCAGTGACAAAGTTGTGGAAAAGTACAGATCAGGGTTGTTGTTTTTTAAAATATCCCACATTTTGAACATCCCACGGAGCACCATTAAATCCATTATTAAAAAATGGAAATAATATGGCACCACAACAAACCTGCCAAGAGAGGACCGCCCACCAAATCTCACAGACCAGGCAAGGAGGGCATTAATCTGAGAGGCAACAAAGAGACCAAAGATAACCATGAAGGAGCTGCAAAGCTCCACAGCGGAGATTGGAGTATCTGTCCATAGGACCACTTTAAGCCGTACACTCCACAGAGCTGGGCATTACCGAAGAGTGGCCAAAAAAAAGCCATTGCTTACAGAAAGAAATAAGCAAACACGTTTGGTGTTCGCCAAAAGGCATGTGGGAGACTCCCCAAACATATGGAAGAAGGTACTCTGGTCAGATTGAGCTTTTTGGCCATCAAGGAAAACGCTATGTCTGGTGCAAACCCAACACCTCTCATCACCCTGAGAACACCATCCCCACAGTGAAGCATGGTGGTGGCAGCATCATGCTGTGGTGATGTTTTTCCATCGGCAGGGACTGGGAAACTGGTCAGAATTGAAGGAATGATGGATGGCGCTAAATACAGGGAAATTCTTGAGGGAAACCTGTTTCAGTCTTCCAGAGATTTGAGACTGGGATGGAGGTTCACCTTCTAGCAGGTCAATGACCCTAAGCATACTGCTAAAGCAACACTCGAGTGGTTTAAGGGGAAACATTTAAATGTCTTGGAATGGTCTAGTCAAAGCCCAGACCTCAATCCAATTGAGAATCTGTGGTATGACTTAAAGATTGCTATACACCATCCAACTTGAAGGAGCTGGAGCAGTTTTGCCTTGAAGAATAGGCAAAAATCTCAGTGGCTAGATGTGCCAAGCTTATATAAACACCCCAAGAGACTTGCAGCTGTAATTGCTGCAAAAGGTGGCTCTACAAAGTATTGACTTTGGGGGGTGAATAGTTATGCTTGCTCAAGTTCTGTTTTTTTTGTCTTATTTCTTGTTTGTTTCACAGGAAAAAATATTTTGCATCTTCAAAGTGGTAGGCATGTTGTGTAAATCAAATGATACAACCCCCCCCCCCCAAAATCCATTTTAATTCCAGGTTGTAAGGCAACAGAATAGGAAAAATGCCAAGGGGGGTGAATACTTTCGCAAGCCACTGTATGTAGTCTACCATTATCAGGTGATAACAGAGGAGCAGGACTTCTTGTAAACTAGTTTGAGTGTTGTTGCTGTACTCACCCACTGTGTACCAACTGGCATCTGTGAGTTTGTTGATGGTTGCCTCACTGCAGATCCCCTCTGCACTCTTCACCTCCACTGTGGAGCCCACCTGCAAAAGGATGCCAGGGAGATGAGACTTTGAGACACCTCATATGCGCTGCTCTTTTAGTCCCATTTCAAAAATAACTCAAAATGGCAACAGTAAAAGCTGCAATATGTAACTTTTTGGGCGACCTGACCAAATCCACATAGAAATTAGAGTTATAGATCTGTCATTCTCATTGAAAGCAAGTCTAAGAAGCGGTAGATCTGTTCTAGGTGCGCTATTTATATGCTTCCCGTTCTTACGTTAGTTTTTTGTGTCTTACTTTCGGTTTTGTACACCAACTTAAAAAACAATATTTTTGGTTATGGAAAATATATTTTACAGCGGTTTTAGATAATACAATGACTTTCTACATTGCTTGTTTTGTCACAAACTGAAATTAGGCAACCTATTAGAATTTTAGCAACCAGGAAATGGCGGAGCAATTTCTGCATATTGCACCTTTTAACATTGCATCTCAAATCAAGTCTTCTCTAAATAAAGAAAGTAACGTGCCTGGGCAAAGTGAAAGCCCATGACACGTGTGTTCGAACAGTGAAAAGGGAACCACACTGGGCATACAAAATATCAGGATAGAAAAACTGAGGCCATTTTAAACCTTTAGGCAACTTAAAATGTTTAACACTCTGGCGTTAAAAATCAGCACAAAAACAACTGCAGTACCATTGATGCTTACAGTTGTTGAAAAACAGGTGATCAGTGTAATTTGCCAGGGCATTAGTCACATGACCATGAACTTCATGTCGACAATACCTTATCTGTAGCGGTTCTATATGCCTGCACCCTGTAGGACATTATGTTGTCACAAGTACAGAACCATTGTTATATCCAACAGATCAGAATCTCAGAATCATGTGACAAACAGATGATTCTGAGAATCAAAAGAACACAGAGGGCCAAATTAATCTTTTCCATATCATACTGTGGGGAGTTCGGTGATGCGATGCCAGTTAGTTCCAAACTTACCTTCAACTGTCCTTTCACTTGGTCATCTTGAACAACTTGTGAAGTGGTGTCTCCTTTGAGCATCACCTAGTGAGAGAGGAGGGAAACAAAGGAATTCATTCAAGGTGAAATAATCCAGTTGAGTAACAGACAACTTTCCTCTTCCTGACTAGTCACGAAATATGTGACAAATGACATTTTCTTTGACCAGTCAGTTACCAAGGGGCCTATAGATGAACCTCACATGCCAACGCTGGAAGGCACAGTTGTAAAAACAGGTGTTTCCAGCTACAGACAGATCTTAAACCATCTGATACAATAGTAGGTATGTGCTTATAGTATTACCAGGGAATGGTGCATCATAGCCTTCACCTATCTTTCTATGTGGAGAAAGTTCAAATGGGGCTTCCTACCTCACCCCATGAACACTAGACCAATGAAACAATCAATCAAGGGAACTCTGACCTTGTTGTGACAATCATAATGGAAGAGCAGAAGCAAAGGAGAATAGTGGAGAATACAGGAGGTCAGGTCACAATGCTGCTAACTGGCGATTGGTGTGGGATCACTTGATTTTAAAACAATAACCATCATCAGCCCTGACCTATAAGCTGGTTCACCAGTTCAGTGGAACCCACATTTTCACAACAGGGTTTTGAGGAATAAAAAAAAGCACATTTGAACCTAAATTCCTAGGCCTATCGGTTGTTCGAAAACATACTAAACCAGACATGGCTGCTAACCCAATGTCCAAGCATTGTCAGTTGCTATACTAAACAAAAATATTTAAAAAACGCAACATGCAAGAATTTCTACGATTTTGCTGAGTTACAGTTCATATAAGGAAATCAGTAAATTGAAATGAATTATTGAATCTATGTATTTCACATGATTGGGCAGGGGTGTAGCCATGGGTGGGCATAGGCCCACCCACTGGGGAGCCAGGCCCAGCCAATCAGAATGAATTTCCCCCCACTAATGGGCTTTATTACAGACATAAATACTCCTCAGCACCCCCCCTAAGATGATCCCGCAGGTGAAGAAGCCAGATGTGGAGGTCCTGGGCTGGCATGGTTACATATGGTCTGCGGTTGTGAGACCAGTTGGACATACTGCAAAATTATCTAAAACGACGTTGGGGGCAGTTTATGGTAGAGAAATTAACATTCAATTCTCTGGCTACAGCTCTGGTGGACATTCCTGCAGTCAGCATGCCAATTTCACACTCCCTCAAAACTTCAGACATCTGTGGCATTGTGTTGTGAGAACTGCTCATTTTAAAGTGACCTTTTATTGTCCCAAGCACAAGGTGCACCTGTGTAATGATCATGCCGTTTCATCAGCTCCTTGATATGCCGCACCTGTCAGGTGGATGGATTATCTTGGCAAAGGAGAAATGCTTACTAGCAGGGATGTAAACACATTTGTGCACAAAATCTGAGAGAAATAAGCTTCTTGTGCATATGGAACATTTCTGGGATCTTTTATTTCAGCTCAAGAAACCAACACTGTTCAGCGTATTTAATGTGAATTTGAACCATGTGTTTTACCCAACAGGCTCTAACCAATGCAGTCATGATGACTGACTATCACCAGTGTTTGTTGTGTTATGATTATGTTATGACTAAATTAACTGTTTTCAGAGTGTCTAGTTGGGACTGCGTAGGTTACAGATTAGCCCAGGGGTCTCCAACAGGTACATCGCGAACTACCAGTAGCTCGCAGCCCAACTATGAGTAGCTCGCCAATCAATTCTGAAAGTACATACATTGGTAACACTAGATATGGTTAGTCCATCAGTAGGTGCCTTACATACTATCAGTAACATTTCAACTAACTATCTACTAACCCTAACCTTAGCAAGCAGTTGCTTAGCAACAGATAGTATGACCATCTGTAGAGCATCTACAGATGGAAAATCCGGACTATCCAAATAAAGTGTGATCCATGCATTTTTTTTTTCATGCGTTCCATCGTATATGGTCAACCATAAACCACCCGGCAACTGTCCAATCAAAGACACAGTGACATTATCCCACCGCTGGTTAGCCACTGTTGACTTAAAAAGCCAAAACGTAACACAATATATGGCAATTACGGTAATTTCCAGCAATATTGCCGTCCGTCTGTTTGGTGCACGTATTTATCTATCACTCTGTATGTAGCCAGTTAGCAATGCTAATGATAACAGTCTTGTGGGTAGACAAAGACTTTCCCAAAAAACTCTCAATTAAATGCAAAGTAGGCTTACCTGACAGAACTATATCATGATTATTTGTATCAATTGGGTGGCAATTGTTTTGCAAACTCTGCCATGACATGTTGTGCAGCAGTAGGCTAGACCGACACATTCCTTTCTTGCTAGATTAATTTAGATGCGCAATTAAAGCGGAATTACACTAAAATCAAAATGTGTTCTATATTATTATTTGTTTACCTACAAAATGGTCTTTCTGTGTGATTTAAGCATTGACATGACTAAGAACATCACTTTTTGTTGTTTCTCTATGAACAATTGACATTTTAACAAAACAAAAGTTTAAAAAAACAACAACAAAAACAGAATTCAGGAAAATACCAAATATGATTTTATGGGGCCCTTTAGAGTTGTTTACTAACCATTATTTTACCAGTTATATTGACAGAAAACACGTCTCTTGTACACCAAGGACCCAGGGAAGAGTCGCATGGTTGAGGAGAAGAGAAGAACGTGCCTATTTGAAAGCTTTTTTATTTTATGCTAGAAAGGGTTGGAGACCCCTGGATTAGCATAAGGCTTTCTGAAACAAACTGAGCAAAACTGTTCATAGAACAAGTCTACTTGAAAGATGTCACTGGCATACACAAACATTTAGATGGGGGGGGGGTCCTTTTGCAGCAAAACTGTGACCGAAACTAGCCAATCAGCTTGTCTACTAGGCCTATATAAACAACATATCCTTGTAAGATTTGGACATCAAAATTTGGAACATTTCACATTACTCCCTTGTTTGATTACAATGTTGTCTGTGTCCCAAATTGCACCCTCTTCCCTATATAGTGCAATACTTTTGAAGACAGCCCCATTCTGTTTATAGTAGTGCATTATAAGGAGAATGGGGTGGCATTTGGGATGGAGTCATTGTTGCGTTGTGCTTTTACCTTAACCTTCACTGTCCGTTTAACAGTCTTGATTTTTGCCTCACAGAAGGCACCTCTGTATTTGGCGCTGACCTCAGTCCCCACGGTCAGGTAGGCAGGCTCGTCCGCTGCCTGTGAGAAAAACAGACACTCCTATAACATTTATCATTGTACTTTCTTATAAATAAAACACAGGCCATGTTTGGCCACTATTGAAAGAGATGTCCATGAAGCATGATGCCACACATAAACATGAAATTGCATTAGAGGTTTTTCAACTCAATAACATTTGTCTTGTTCAGGAAGAGGTGGACAATGATGTCTAAAAATAGTCATTTACGGTGAAGCCTACATGAAAACTTTTGGCATTGAAATTATATATGAAACATGTATATGTGCAACATTCTGACGCCTTCAAACTGTCATATGTTGTTGCCAACCATATAGACAGTTGTCCCCCAGTCTCTATGCAAGCCAAGTGAAAGAGGCGTCGGCTTCACCGCTGTTTTCAACTGAGGTTAGCCAAGTGACTTACCTTCATCGTAGAGGCTATTTGAGGGAGTCCAGCTCGATTGGTTTTGATTGCTGTAAAACAAGATCGTAATTACAGATGAATAAAGATGTCAGAATGGCCGTGATTAGGACTAAATCAAATTTAGTCGAAAATGAGTAAATATGCTAACAGGCTAACGACGAACTAGCCTGCTACTTCTAACGCATTCTTTTCAAGCTCGATGCAGCCCCCTCCCTCCAGATTCACAAAAATGTGTGGCTACTGGCTAGCTAGTTTAGCTGTATGCTCATGCTGAATGTTAACAGACTAAAAATCGACAAAAGCTTTTTAAAAGAATATTATCAAGTTATTTACAGCCCAGCGTTGGCATACTACAAGGACGTTGCACATAGACAACAAACAGAATAGTGCGTGTTCCTTCCCGCTTTGCTCGCAATCTGTGACTGTGTCACGTCGCCATCATAGCTCGCCGTGCTGCACCATGTCAGGCTGGGAGAAATACACAGAGGAGCTGGCTACAAAAGGTGTGCCACACAGTCATCTTAGACAATTATGTTTTACTAGAAACAGAGATTATAAAGATTGTGGCAGTCTTTTGGTTAAAGTGAGGAACGACAGAATATTTCCCTCAACTCGGGAGCTAAATTTAGCTAGTTAGCTAACTTAAACATGCTAGCTAACGTTAACAGTTTCTCGATTTAAAGCGCCTTGTTAGTCATTGAGTTGGCCAGCTAGTTCAGGCAGAACATTTCAAACTGTGGTTCTCATTTGGATAAACGAGAGGCAGGCAGGTAGTTCGACGATAAAACAAAAAATTATCAGGACAATAATTATTTATTATCCAGTTTCACAAAAGGCGCATACATTTATTCACTGCAAAAACAAGCCGACTAGTCACTGGCACTGCCATTCAATTCTTTACCAGCCTAAGCTTACAATAAAAAATAACGAAAAATTGAGCTAAGTCTCGTCCGATAACTAACGAAACAGGTGTCACATTGATCTAAATAGCTTCAACTGTTAAACGTTTGTAATTCGTTTGAGAGGAATATTAATATGTTTGATACTTACATGCAACGACACCACTGATCACGACTTGCTTGCTAGATTTGCAAAGCAATACACGAATAACAAGCTGTTGAGCCGAAGCTGGGTCTCTCGAAATCCGATTGGCTGCCGTGACAGTGGTGGTCGAATCGCAGAAATATGATTGGTCAACACTTGCTTCAAATCCTATAGGACATACCTTCTCTGGATTTATGGTTGGTAGATGGAAATCGGCGCTTTGAGAGAAAATGTGCTATTGGTCTTCCCAAACGTAGCTTCTTTCACAAAAATAACACCCCAACATGGAAATATGATTGGCTTTACTTATCTCAAGTCAAGCCATTCACTGGTTAGAAATATTTTACAATGGACCGCCTATTTTCGACACTGGCTTCCTTGTCACTCCAAGGATGGAAATATACTATATGTGAACTGAAAACACAAGCAATTTCTACTCACTCGTTGGATGGTGCTAGCGGTAACTCGTATTTTAATTAATGAGTTACTAGCTATGTTGTCATGTGCTGGGGAGAGGATGCGGGTTACGAGTTAAATATAAAGTATCGATTTGTTTGAAGTTGAGGCCAATGGCGCCTTGTTCATGTTTGTAGGACGTCAGAGGGCAAGTTGGTTACGTAACCGGAAGGAAGCATGTGCAGGTAAAAGCTATGTGAAGTGATTGCTGTCAAATCTTGGTTACTACTTACCTAAGGCCAGACAATTAATGCATATAGCCGTGTTGAGGGGTGTAACTTAACATTGGCTAGTCTTCTGGCTGAGTATCCTGAGATGTGAAATTCCAAGCCTTAATCTACTAGGTTGACTTCAGCACCACTACAAGATAATCTGTCCCAGGAAGGCAGAATGGCATGTCTTTATCAAATGTACAGATGAGGAGCTAATCAATCCCTCAGATTCAAGACACTGGTCAAGTCTTTCACATCATCTTAAATTGTATCCAAGCAGGGACATAACCAGATGAGGCTGGCATGGAGAGGCACTGAGAGGTGGAGGTCCATCTGTAAGGTCAATGTGGAGACCACTACCCTTCGAGTCACTGTGACATGTCATACCTGAAACATATCACACTGTGCACTGAAAGAGTCTTGGTGTTCTTACACAACTGCGCCATCAGTAGAAGGATCAAGTGACAGTCCTTGAGATATTATGAACTAAATACACATCCAATTATAAAAACAAATGACAGAGGCAAACCCTTGTTGACAGTATTTAGAGTATCACAAAAAAGGCCAAAAATGCTTTGAGTATAAACAGTGCTTATCTTCAACTTTTATTTAAAGGCTGAAATCCATCAAACCCAAAAAAATTACATGGTCCATTAATTACAAAACAACGTCTGTGTCTCTTGGAGAGCCGTCCTGTCAGTAGGTGTTTGACGAGTGGAGAAACCACAGAAATGAGTTTACATGTTGTCTTCATCAGAGTCATCCTCCTCCTCCAAGGAATCCTATGGTGGAAGCAAAAGGCATTGCGAATCAGACACCAGCAAGACAGATATAATGGAAGTGGTTCAGTGAACCATTCTCACGTGATGAGTAACCTTGCCTGGGACCTGAAGACTTGAGTTAGCTCCCTGGGCTAAAGCTTGGGCTTTAGCTCAGCAGGCTAACTCAGTCTTGTGGCACACAGGAGACTCAAGTTCAAACATTTTACATTTACATTTTAGTCATTTAGCAGAAGCTCTTATCCAGAGCGACTTACAGGAGCAATTAGGGTTAAGTGCCTTGCTCAAGGGCACATTTACGTCATTTAGCAGACGCTCTTATCCAGAGCGACTTACAAATTGGTGCATTCACCCTATAGCCAGTGGGATAACCACTTTACCATTCTTTTTTTTTATTTTTTATTATTATATATTTTTTATATATATATATATTTTTTTTTTTGGGGGGGGGGGGGGGGGGGGGGGGTAGTAGAAGGATTACTTTATCCTATCCCAGGTATTCATTCCTTAAAGAGGTGGGGTTTCAAATGTCTCCGGAAGGTGGTGAGTGACTCCGCTGTCCTGGCGTCGTGAGGGAGCTTGTTCCACCATTGGGGTGCCAGAGCAGCGAACAGTTTTGACTGGGCTGAGCGGGAACTATGCTTCCGCAGAGGAAGGGGAGCCAGCAGGCCAGAGGTGGATGAACGCAATGCCCTCGTTTGGGTGTAGGGACTGATCAGAGCCTGAAGGTACGGAGGTGCCGTTCCCCTCACTGCTCCATAGGCAAGCACCATGGTCCCTAGACGTATTTTTGGTTTGAACCCAGTAGGTCACAGAAATGCCATGCTAAATAAAAATGAATGACTGGTGGTCGTGGTACATACCTTAGCGTACTTCTCTGCCTCCTCCCTGACGTCTTTTGGAACCAGCTCATGTTTTCCATTTGTCACTGGTGAGGGGAAATTAAGGTCATAAGTTACACTGCTCAGTTCAAGCAGATCAGCTGCGATCAATTTGAATGGACCAGGCGATGGCCCGTCACATAGTTAGTCAAAACTGGTTAGGGTCGAGTATCCAACAGAATCATAACCCATTATTGCACATGCTTGCCATACATCACTTTGTTATGAGCTGGGTTAACTGTCACATTTAAATGTATGACACTGCTCACAACCAGGGACAAGTTTGTTCCAAAACAAATGCAATGGCTGCTTACCCGGTGCACTAGTTGTGGCTTAGACCAGTGTACAAAACTCTGCCTTTGTTACATTTGTCATATACAGATGTACAAAGGGAGACAAAACCACACTTAAAAATACATGTGTAGGTCTAAGGCACTGCATCGCAGTGCTAAAGGCATCACTACAGACCTGGGTTCGATCCCAGGCTGTATCACAACCGGCCATGATCGGGAGTCCCATAGGGCGGCACACAATTGGCCCAACGTCGTCCGGGTTAGGGGAGGGTTTGGCCAGGGGGGGGGAGGGTTTGGCCAGGGGGGGGGGGGGGGGGGGGGGGGGGGGGGGGGTGGCTTTACTTGGCTCATCGCGCTCTAGCTACTCCTTGTGGCGGGCTGGGCGCCTGCAGGCTGACCTTGGTCGTCAGTTGAACAGTGTTTCCTCCTACACATTGGTGCGGCTGACTTCCGGGTTAAGCGGGCGGGTGTTAAAAAGCATGGTTTGGCGGGTCATGTTTCGGGGGACGCATGACTCGACCTTCGCCTCCCGAGCCCGTTGGGGAGTTGCAGCGATGAGACAAGATCGTAATTGGGGAGAAAAAGGGGGTAAAATACAAAAAAAGAAATACATGTGTATATGAGAAAGTGGCATTACCTTCTCCAACCCAGCTGAGTTCCAACTCGAACGATTTGTCTTTCACTTCATCGTGTACAATGTAGATTCTACAAAACAAACATCCAACAGTACATGTTAGTAGCAACTTAATACTCAGTGCCTTGATTGGAGGCTATTCATGAGAGTGAGTAACAGTGTGGGTGTGTGTTCCTTTAATAAAACAAACAAAAACTTACATTTTGGCCACCTCTTTTACCAACTCCCTGCAGGTCATGTCTTTCATCTGTTGATAGCAATGGCATACAAAATCAAAGGCAAACTTTTAAGCAAGATCTTCCCTTGTCTTAAGAAAATTGGCTCAATTAATATTCTTACCTGAAGCTTTTCAATTTCTGTCTTGGCGGCTTGCTTGGCTTTTCCAATAGCACATCCCCAGTAACCCTTGATAAAACAAAACAATGTATAAGTGGTCATCTAATATTTTCACAACATTGCCTAATGTTACACATTTCAGGTCATAATTTAAGGTTGCATGATGAGATACAGATTTCGTAAATGTTCGCAACTGATCAACATTCCCTTCTGAATACATTGCATAGGTTCAAACACATTAAAGGGCCATTTTCCATGACCCAGATTAAAACTAGTCCAGGACTAAACCACATGCTCAAGGTAAAATCTCCACAGAGAATGCCTCTTATTCCTGGACTAGTCTTAATCTGCTTCCGGGAAACCGTCCCTAAACATGTAAAGTGTGACAACAGTAAATTAATGACAGAGCTTGTTTGGGGATAAACTCCCCCCAAAATAACTCACATATGAGATTCCAGAGGGGTCAACCATGTACAGCTGAGGACCATCATCTTGATCGTAAGAGCCCAAAATGAAGCTACATCCAAACGGCCGCACCGCACTGTATAACGTGTAGGCATGGACGTACATGGCCACTCTCTCTGAGAGATGCTGTAAAGAGAGATTATATGCAATTCATCTCAAATCAAGGAATATGCCAATTGTCCATAGGACTTGGGGACAAAGCAAAGCAACTCAGAATATGTTGACAACATGTAAATACAGTCACACACTTAACCAGTTGAATCAGGTGTGGTTGTACTGTAACGGAACAGACCAAATATGTGGAACTGACAGGGTACACGAGGAGGAGTTTGAGGGAAACACTGACCAAGAGCATCAGAGTTATTTTTTTACCTTCAGTGGGATGTTGTGTCCATAGTTGGATCTGAAGTTGGAGGCCTCCTCTCTGGCCACCTCAGACAGGGATCGAGCATCAGCCAGTAGTCCAGCCACTGCCTATTGGTAAGAAAGTTAAAGGTAGATTCAGCAATGCACAAAGTAAACAGCAGAGTCGGGACGACGTCGCAAATAATACGAGTGTTATGGCCAAGATCCACTAACTAGCGATGCTTCGCCTAACCACGCTAGCTTCCTCCAGAGTGGCTCCTCATGTGGGTGCTAGCAAGCCGACAGCATGCTTGGTATCAACAGCCAATCCAGTAGGGTCTGGAAGCCAGTGAGCTTCAATTGGTCAATTGCACCGCGATATTGCAGAGTATTTGCATAAAGTTCAGCTTCCTCCAACTTAAGTCCCACCCTATTCACGTCGCCCAACAGTCCCCAGGCCACTTCGCTTGGCATCGCTTTTCTTCCTTTGAAAAGAAATGGCTTCTGTTGTTTCATTGCCAAACATCGTCCAGAGAGGATCTCGTCCATTAGGAGTGAGGCTAAACTTCTCCGTTGTTTTGGTCCCATAGCTATCACGTTGCAGCAGCGTGAAGCGCAGATACTCTGAATGCATGACCGCCTTGCATCGCGCATGTCTGTGGCTCATCCTCCTGCTCGTGGAAACGTCATATTGCTGAGTCTCATTTTAATTGAGTTACTAATTGAACCAGCCCTTTATATGAGCTGAACACAGATGGCGACGACCAATACCTGCTTAAGATTTTTCAAGAAAAATAGACTGGTGGAATGACAACGTCATGACAAAAATGCAGGCACAACCCAGAGGTATAAGACTGTTGTCACTGATCGGCCAGATAGCTAGCAACATTGACTAGAAGCTGGTGTGCTGTGAATTGTAGATGGCTTGTTTCAGCTAGTTGTATTTTGTGCTTGATACCATCTCTTGTTTTGACGCATGTCACGTCTATGCAAATGTGGCTATGGTTAGCTAGCTAGCCAGCAACTGTAACTATGTATTTGAAATAAACAGCATATAAATTGCAATGGGTAAATGTCTTGATTTTTTCAATAACATTTGCAGACGAAATAGCTTACATTTTAATCCTTTGATTGTAAGATTATTATTTTTTCTCTGTGTGGTTGAGTGCGCATCAGTTTTGTTGGTAAACACCACACATGTATATACTGGGGATGTGGTCTGTGGATGAATACATACCATCCCTACGTGACGGTCGACATTGAAGATACGCTTGTTTGAGCCTTGTTCGTAAAGTTTGGAGAGAACCAATTTTTCGACACCGAACACAACCCCATCCTTGCATCGGATCCCAATTGCTGTGCTGTAAGGAGAAAGGACAAGAACCAACAAATTGAGACACTTGAGTACAAAAAAAAGTGATTTGTGCATATTCCTGTCACTTTCCATCTATTTATTTATTAGTCATTTAGCAGACGCTCTTATCCAGAGCGATTTACAGGAGCAATTAGAGATAAGTGCCTTGCTCAAGGGCACATCGGCATTTTTCACCTAGTTGGCTCAGGGCTTAGAACCAGCGACCTTTCGGTTACTGGCACAACGCTCTTAACCACTAAGCTACCTGCCGCCCCATCATGTGGGTACTGCATTCAAAAGGATCACATACCTGCTGTTTTCTACTGCCTTCATGGCATATTCCACCTGGAACACCCTTCCATCAGGGGAAAAGGTGGAGGCAGACAAGTCATACTAGAAAGGGAGATTTGGATGTTATACTTTGATGGCCACTGCTGTTGATAAAACACGTGTCATTGACAGGAACTGCAAGGCTTCATACATCAATCTAACCAATACTCATTGGTGTCACTTTTCCCAGTATTGGCTGGCAAAAACATGGAAGTAGATTCACGATAGAGTAATCCCATTTCAAAGGCTCCGTGCAATCTAGGCTCTTTGGGACGTCCATAGGATACCGGATAGCACCGACCCATTTAAAAGTGCATGTGTCAGTGTGTCAATCTAGCTAATTAAAGGATTCAAAAAATGGCTACCTTGTAAATATCATGATGTGAAATCAAACCTGTTGATAGATAGCAGAGCAACCGATATCCAACACCAAATCAGTTGAATTGGTTTCAATTTCGATTTAGCTTAGCCAGCATTGCTAGCTAACTAGCCTGTAGTGCAAGTGACTCAGCAGGCATGACAACATGGCTTAGTAGCAAACTAACAGTAGTACTGCAAGGAAAGAACAGCTAGGTAGCAGTAACCAGTGTAAAATGTACTTCATCACTATATACGATTATAGATCTTAAACGAATGACGTGATTAAATGTGTTATTAGCTAGTTATCTACTAAAACCTCAAACTAGCATAAAGCAGTCACAGCTAACTACAGTAGTTAGCAAGTTGGCTAACTTTGTTGCTAGCCTGGCTAAGATGAGCCGAGGTTAACAAGTTACCAAACATTTTATTTGTTAGCATTACAAAAATGAAGAGAAGTGTCTTATCAAATTTACCCCAGTTCCAATTGAACTCATTGTGGTAAAAACTCTTCAAAAAGCCTTTATAACAACTCCGTCTGATGTGTTTCAGCGCATCCCAGTCACTCTCCAACCAACAAGAAAATGGCTTTATGTTCAACAAAACAGCAGCCGCGTTGAACATGCTTGAATACCGCCACCTACTGTGGTGGAGTGTAATATCATAGAGGTAAACGTTTAAATAAAGTGCACTGCACACTCATCAGAAACTGAATCTTAAATATGTAATATCTACAGGAAGAATGTATACAGTAGGCATACTAATAAAATAAAAAATGTTTAGTCTTCTATGTTTAACCTAATTTAAAATGACGAAATGTATTGGGAAATATGCTGGTAAACACAGTTCAGCCGTTTACTATCAATCCTGGCTACATTTTCACCTGCAAATTGCCGTAATTAATAACATCAGCACTAGAAAGTTTGTGACTTTACTTAATATTCATGCATTTAATACAAGCCCTCTTTTCTCAACCTTCGTGGGAAAAGTAACTGGGTTGAGGTTAATGAATGATTTAGTTTAGCTAATCCTCGACTGCTCCCTGGTGGACAAAAGATGAACAATACCATAATTCCAAATTGAGGGGTGGGTACGGAGATCCGGCTGGAAGATGGCGGAAGTGGTGGATGAGTTCGAATTAAGCAGCGCGTCGAGTAAATTTGGTGAAGACGAATGTTCTGAATGGATAACAGTAATATCGAAAACTGGATCAAAACGGAAATTGTCTATAATTGGAGTGGAGGATACGTGTGTAAATGATCATGAATCGCTTCTTGTTGGGATGCATATGTGGGAAACCCGTTTGAGGTGTCGAAAATGGTGAAGAATGTGTTTGGAAAAGTGGAGTCTGTCAGAGTGACCAAGAGTGGTCTTATTTTGATTAATTGTATATCTGACGAATTGCAGTGGGCCTCAAAAGAATCCAACAACATAAGTTTTGTGTTTTGAACTTCGGAGTAGAGCACCCGTCAAATAAGTCATCTCAGAGGTGACGACGGATGTTCATGTTGAATAACTGAAGATAATTCCTGGTGTGGTTGGTGCCCGGCGTCTGACCCGTTGGGTGAATGGAAAAAAATAATAAAGTCTGTCGGGCCTGTTGTTTTTTGATAAAGAGCAATTACCTACGCATGTGAAGCTTGGTTATGTAAGATACGCCATATGAGCTTTCATCCCCAAACCACTGCATTGTAAGAATTGTAAAGGATTTGGCCATGTTTCGAGTGTGTGCAGACGAACAGAGTATACTGAAGAATGGTGTGTAGAAGGACGACGGTGTTGCAATTGTGGTGGGGATCATGATCCTGAGTTCCTGCAGTGCGCTTTAAGGATGAATGAAATTGAGGTGGCAAATGTTAGAGGGGTCAATCGAATCTCCTATGTAGAGGCGATCAAAATAGAGAAAACCAGTGATGCCAGTGAAGAGATGGTAGTGGATACACCATAGCCTGTAGTAAATGTTTGCTGACAGACAAAATATACCCTGTGTGTTAAAAAGGTGGATTTTGTTGCGTTCATCGCCACAGCACAAGTCTCAAATACGTTTTAGAAACTATACATTATTGTGGCTGCAGCAGAAACGTTTCTGGGACTCAAGATTTTATATCCGTACTGGCGCCGGAAAACCCGTCCTCCCAGGTTCCCCTTGAGCCTGTGTAGGGATCAGATCTGTTTTATTTATTTATTTTGAACAAAAAAGTTGTTTTATTTATTTTGGTCGTTTTTTTGGTAGTTCAGTTTTTTTGGGGTAATAAGGTTTCCATCCCGCATAGTAGGTGGTGGGATGTACATTACATTGTGTAATCGCCAATATACCATAGAAGAAGAACAATTCCAAATGGAACATAAACTATATCAATTGCACAGAAAGGACTGTAGCGGTGTGCTATATGTTTGCTTGATCAATTCAAGAGATACCCCTGTCTGGTTACATTTCTGATTTTTGTGGTAAGTGCTTCAAAGAGGTAACGCTATATTGTAATGTGAAAATAAGCGTTATATGGTTAAATAGCGACGCTACTTTTCAATTAAGTTAGATAGCTAACGTTAGCTAGCTAGCTTTGCTCGCTAACATTATATAGCTAGCTAGGTTGCCCCTCACGGCTGAGAAAGCAGTGGAATGAATTTTATGATATTTGTGCACGTGGGAGAATGTTTTTAGATTCGAAATTTGTGCAGAACGAGAGCCACACTAACTAAATATTAGGGTTTGGCTATAGCTCCCATGTTAACTATTTGACAAACATTACATGACCAAAACTATGTGGACACCTTCTCGTCGAACATCTCATTCCAAAATCATGGGCATTAATATGGAGTTGGTCCACCCTTTGCTATAACAGCCTCCACTCTTCTGGGAAGGCTTTCCACTAGATGTTGGAACATTGCTGCGGGGACTTGCTTCCATTCAGCCACAAGAGCATTGGTGAGTTTGGGCACTGATGTTGGGCGATTAGGGCTGTCTCGCAGTCTGCGTTCCAATTCATCCCAAAGGTGTTCGATGGGGTTGAGGTCAGGGATCTGTGCAGGCCAGTCAAGTTCTTCCACACTGATCTCGACAAACCATTTCTGTATGGACCTTACTTTGTGCACAGGGGAATTGACATAATGAAACAGGGAAGGGCCTTCCCCAAACTGTTGCCACAAAGTTGGAAGCACAGAATCGTCTAGAATGTCATTGTATGGCCTCCTGTAGCTCAGTTGGTAGAGCATGGTGCTTGCAACACCAGGGTTGTGGGTTCGATTCCCACGGGGGGCCAGTATGAAAAATGTATGCACTCTCTAAACTGTAAGTCGCTCTGGATAAGAGCGTCTGCTAAATGACTAAAATGTCAAATGTAAATGTATGTCCCTTCACTGGAACTAAGTGGCCTAGCCCGAACTATGAAAAACAGCCCCAGACCATTATTCCTCCTCCATCAAACTTTACAGTTGGCACTATGCATTGGGGCAGGTAGTGTTCTCCTGGCATCCGCCAAACCCAGATTAGTTCGTCGGACTGCCAGATGGTGAAGTGTGATTAATCACTCCAGAGAACGTGTTTACACCACTCCAGCCGACGCTTTGCATTGCGCATGTTGATATTAGGCTTGTGTCCAGTTGCTCGGCCATGGAAACCCATTTCATGAAGTTCCCGACGAAGTTCTTGTGCTGACGTTGCTTCCAGAGGCAGTTTGGAACTCGGTAGTGAGTGTTGCAACCGAATCCACTAATTTAAAGGGGTGTCCACATACTTTTGTATATATAGTGTATATTAGGCATGCCAATAACATGCCATAACAATATTATGTCTATATATAGAGGGTAATATGCTTGTTGTATAACTATCACGTAGTTGTCTGTCAATAAAGTTTACAACACAATTGGTATCTGATTTCTATAATGTTAGTGTAGCCCAGTGCTTCCCAAACTGTGGGGTGCGCCCCAGGGGTCGGAAGGGGGAGTGCGGGTTTAAATCTTTATTTTTTATTTTTTAAGGAACTCAGTCCGGCTTGAAACGTACTCTTGAAAGTTGTAATAGTAGAATGCACAAGGTGCAACTTTTAAATGAGGTAGTGCATCATCAGTTCCTCTTGTCATGTTAGTTAATGCATATGTTAGAGAGCTATTTTATAACTTGTCAGAAATGTCCAGATCAACTAGCCCATGTCAGTTAACGTTTCTTTATTTAGCCCACAGATCCTGTTGTAATTTTTTAGTCACTCAAATATCACATGAATACACATTAGACATAGCAAAATCTATAGAGTTGCAAGAAAATTAGCTTTAAAACTGCAAAATTCTCTCCACCAACAAGAGTGATGTGAAAAGTTTGTGTC